CAATCACAAAAAAGTACTATCCAAATCTGATGGCGTGTGCCGTAAGTAAAGATCGGCCATGCAGCGTGTTTGTGTGTGTTTTGACGACGTGTTTTTTATTGAAGTAACCTAACCTCTAAATCGTATGAGATGCGCGCGCTTTTTACGATTTTTTGCATACACGAATCTCACGATGACGCATTCGGGGAAATAACTGCAATCTCTTCGCGTGTAAGTTTCTTCATTGAAATTATGGTAGTTTGTGTATTGGATAAGACAGCTTTCCAATGTTTTGATATCGTAGTTTAATATCTCATCTTTTGAAAAAACTGGACATATGTCTAATCGAGATATGCATCACAATTTAAGAATGAACGTAATCGAATCTTTTATAACATTTGTCGCATCATGATCATTCAATGCCACATATAAGTGGTGTGTGGTTTAAAGAGGAATCTTGGAATTTCATTTGTTCAATCAATTTTGTGGTAGATAGATCTGGTTTCATTGAATTGAGATCTTGAATCTCGGAATCACTCTTAAGAACGGAATTTCTTTTAGTATTTTTGTATTCATGGCTTTTTCCATATTGATATTCATTATACTCATATATGAATATTTTAATAAAGTATTTCCCGAAGTGGGCGATAACACCCTCTGCGAGCGCTGGGGACCTAGAGCCTAGAGGAAATTGGGAATTGGGGGGGCAATGAATTGGGTTGGCGGGATAAGGGTTAGAGTGTTATGATACACTAAGTAATTTCGAGGAGCGCTGGAAAGTAATTGGGAGCCAAAGTGAGTAGTAGACTGAATAAGTTTGAGAACCTCTGTAATGAATTTTGACGGATTATTTTCGACAATATGTACGCCAAGTTTATATGTTTACCAATTCTCAGAAAAATGACAAGAGAAAATATTATTTCTTTTTTAGAACAGCTGTTAATATGATCTGATGGGAAAATGGAATGTATACTATCTTCTGCAAACAGTTTTTAATAAAAAAGTTGATATCGAAAACTCCGGAAATATTTTTATAGTTATAGTTTTTTCAATAAAATGAATGTAACATTATTTTGGAAATGTATTATTTCCTATAACTAAAAATGCACAATAATTTGGATATTTTTTCTGAAATTTTTAACATTATTGAGCCTAAAATGAGACCACTGCACTGGTTAAAATGCGATTCATGAAAATGCTGATTTTTTAAATATTCAGTTTCCGTTCGATCTACCGCAATATTCCTTGTTAGGCAAATATTTTAGTGTTTAGCATTGAAAATAGATTTATGTCGATGATACCAAAGACATCCAATAAAAATATGTTCATAAAGTGACTTTCTTTTCAAAATTTGACTCATTGACTTATTCATATTTATGTAGTATTCATTTTCAAACTATAGTTTTGCAAACGTTGAATTATAATGTTAAATTTTGTGGGAAAGTATAGATTTTTAACTTTCGAAACCGAATATGACAAAATAGAATCTTCACATACATTTTACCGTGATTTTTGACCTCATGGTAGTGCGACAATTTAAAATTGTAGAGTTTCGTTTATTTTGCATGAACTTTTCATACTGTTCCAATCACCTCTCGTGCCAAACACAAAATACTCATCTCCTGTCTCATAAAATAATAAACTTACGTAGAAACAATGACATTAATACTTAGCACATCTTTATATAATGTAAAGTAAGCCTTATAAGTCGAATACTGTTACAGTTATAGCAAATCAATGTATTTACAAAAAATTGCCAATTCTCTCCATTAATGCCTTTAAAACCTAATGATTTTAACAAAAAGGTACACAAAACTCCAACGACTAATATGGACACTATTAGATGTGGAAATATTAATCATCCCCATACCACTTGTGGAGGTGATAGTGAAACATAGCCAATATCCCCCATATGTTTATCTAGCCAATGAAGCCAATTTAAATTTCTTCAATCACTGTTGTAACCGAAACATATGAAAGAAGGATTTTAAATTCACTTGGTTTTATGGGCCAGGCAAACATGGGGACTATCGACATGAAACCCAAAAGAAGTTTCAGATGTTATAGTCAAACTAGAGTTGATAGAAGCAAATTCTATTTCATCATACTATATCTACATGTACTGGCTACCAGCAATTACTTAATTAAATTCCGTGTGTTTAGATAGTTTGTATGTTTCTCCTGGATTTTTATTGCCATGATGAGACAATGCATATTGAAATGAAATGGAAAATGTTCATAACAAAACGGTATTAGATAAGAAAGTCTATGCTATGGTGTTTTGATGGCCATGTTAAATCAGCGTGTTTTAGTTGAATACACAAAGATTATTTATAGTTACTTAAAAATTTCCTTATTGGCTTATTATGCATTGTTTTTTAAGTAACGTATTTTTTAATATCTACTACGGATATATTACTATCAAACGTACCAGTTGTAAAGTATTTTATTCATGATTTCCCAAAACTATTTAAGGCCCCATTTTCTAAGCCGGGCACAAAAAAACGCGTGGAACAGAAATTTAACCAATAAGAAGGCGTCTTTGAAGGAAAGAATCCAATAAATATGGTCGATTTCTTCTAAATGGTCTCCCAAACGAGAGAATAATTATATGGTTTGTATAAGATGAGCCCTTAATTCGCATATTAAATCAAGACATACGCCATAAATCGGTTTAGCTACAAAAACTTGATTTTTTCATTTGCGCCAATGCAATTTCGGTTTCAGACAACCAGTCAGTAAAGTTCTTTATAAGCACTTTATTTGAAAATTGGCGATTTCTATTGAAATTTTCGTGATTAAGTGGAATATCATAATCGGACCTAATTTCCTGAAAACTCTTGTTTTCGTTTATAAGCTGCGTCTCCTTATTATCCGGTTTGTGGAAAGCGCATTGAGTTTTAAGTTGCTGGATATCAAATTGGATTGGTATACGAGCCCCTTCCCACTTCAGTTGGCGCACTTCAACATTTGTACCAAAATATGCCTTTATAAACTAAACATGACGAAACTATTTACTTCTAAAACAACTTATTTTCTCAAAAACATTTTAGATACACTCTAGTCGTAAAAAATACATATTCGAAATCACTTAGACCTATAACTAATAGAACATCTGAACAAATAAACAATGTGCGAATAAATGCGCGAAGTTAACAAAGCAACAATTGAAAGATTACCATTGGGTAACATCACCTTTATTTTTTATTACGGCTGAAATTCTTTGGGGCATAGTGTTAACCAAGTTTTGGCAAAAATTTGGTGTAAAACAATCCCATATTTCTTGAAGCTTTTGTCTCAGTTCGGTGATTGTACGAGCAGGATGTTGTCGTAGAACCTTTTTCATCTCGTGCCACAAAGTTCCAATAGGTGACAGATCTGGACTGCTAGAAACCCATTTCAAAAGTGGTACATTATTTTCTTCCATCCATGTTATAGCCTTTTTGAGGTATGCCACGCTGCACCATCTTGCTGAAACACAAAATCTTGGCCGGATGTCAAACATTCTTCCATCACTGGTAAAAGCGATTCTTCTAAAATTGTCAAATATTTGTTTGTATCCACATTTCCATCAATAAAATGAAGTTTTCCTACTCCTTTTGATGACATACTGCCCCAGACCTAATGGATGCTGGAAATTTCACTTTTCTCTTCAGACAGTCAACATGGAATGCTTAATTTTTTTTGCGAATAACTACTGCGACTGTCACCAACACAAACTTCGAATCGGGCCTCATCACTGCATTGTATTGCACACCATTGTTGAGGTGTCCATTGTCTATGTTCTTTAGCCCATCTAAGCCGATTTTTCTTTTGCAGTCGGGTTAATATTGGCTTTTCTTTGGCCTGTAAACAAGTTGTGCAACTTTAGGGTTTTTACTTCACTTTTTTTATAAGAAAACTTACCTTGCAAGTGCTAAATCTTGTGGGCCTCTCTATGAGTTGTGGACCTCAAAATTCTCCTTCCTACAGCGTCACTCCACATAGCACTTAATTGTAAATAATTGGCACGCCTGTTTTTCACGATTATTCTTCTTAATGCTCTTCGGTCGGCATTTGTCATATTACTTTTTTCACATATCGTGGCTTAATATTAACTGAACCAGTTACGTTATATCTTCTAACAATATTTCTCACACTGTACTGCGGTAAGTCTAACAAAGTTGCAATTTCCGAGTTTGACTTCCCAGAATTGAAAAATTTAATTATCAGTAACCCATTTTGAAAACCTTAACTACCCAAAACTATTTTAAACGTATTCTGACAGCTGTGATTAACAAAAACAATTGTCATGCCTTTTATTTTTCACAGCCACCTATGCGTTATAGACTTATTTTACATTGAAATGAAAATAGGTTATATGATGTAATTGCAACATGTGTTATTTTTATGCTGCAAATTTGATTAGGGAGTGATAAAGTTGGTGTTTTCTACTATATATTATCAAAATATTCATTGTTAATATTTTAAACCTATAACACCCTGCTACATTTTTATTATTTGTGTTTGATGAGAAAAAAACTAAGATTTCAATAGTTGGGCCAACTGAAGTGGGAAGGGGCTCGTATTATCCTCATCAATAGCCATGTAACATAACTAAATACAAATTATTGGGAGCAACATGTAGAAACAAAGCTCTTCCAAGAGCGCCGGATGAGTCTGAAAAGTGCGCACAGATAAACTGATACATGCCAAATTTTCTAGTGTGGGCCGTCCAAAATAGAAGACCGTGTATTTTTAACTATCGTTCTTTTTTATATCATGTCACGCTTGTTTACCGAAATCGTTTTGAAATTGGTCATCGGTGTCGCACCTTACGCATTTAATATTTAGAGAAGTTAGTATGAGGCCTTTTTTTATTTTCTCCTTATCTTTTAATCATAATCTGATAAATAATCAAAACTAAATTTTTTTGAAGACTAGTCTAACTATACAAGCATTTGACAACCTACCAATTGAAGATAATGTATAACATTCAAACTGAATTTTATAATTATTATTTTTATTTTATTATTATGAATTTCAAGCTTATCCTTGTGATTACACATGTGACGAGGCATAAGAAATATGTATTTCAACTGTTATGCATAATTATAACTTCGGTTATTGTGACTAGGGCCATAAAAATTCTAGAAACCAGATATACGATTGGATATATATTTCTTATTTTTTATTGTTGAGAATAGCCGTAATAGATTATTATGCAATCAGGGCCTACGAGTGCTGGCATCCTGCATTTGAAGGTGTTTTAATTCGAAGGTGACAACATACATCAACTTCACTTGGGATTCAAGGACAAACCATAAAAAATATAGAGATCCAATCTGGTCATGTTACTTCCTCAATAGCTGCCCTCAATCCCAAATTGGTTTTTTTATTGACGCTTTAGGGTTGCTCATAAGATTTACCTACTTCTAGACTGTTGTTGCATAATTTTTCTGTATTTCGATTCATCAATAGTGCAAGTTCAGAATTATTTCAATAGTCCGAATACACTTATAGGAAAAGACTGTCTCATCCAATCTCAACTTCATTTGAATCTTAAACATTTTTCTGGGAAGGTTACACAGTTCAATCTCCCTACATTTAGGCCTAATTAGCCAGAATAAGAGCGATAAATCCAATGTTTGATTGAAAAACAATTTGACACTTTTGACAGATGGCTCACTACCTTCGAAGTAATATGTGCTATGTCAGACAATTTCGAAAGAATTTCAATTTTTATGACGCAATGCTTGGACATATGACTGCTATTTCTGTAAAAGCAATAAAATGATACAAAAAAATATTGTTTTGAAGGGAGTGTTATAAAATGTAAAAAAAATATTTGGAGCACTGTTTGACAATTGATTTAATGGGGCATTTTAAATGTTTTCAGTCATATTTAACAAATCATTTGCAATTCATCGTTGAATGCAGTTTAGTTTCCAAACATAAATTGATAGATATCATTTGTTATTCTATAGGGCAACCTAATAGCTACATATATTTCATTTTTTATGAACTTTCCACATATTCACATGTGGATTTTTGCTATAGTTAGTGTAGCTGTAGTGTTCTTTTAACCCGCGCATCATACCTTAACGTATATTTTGTGACACATGATTTCAATTCGCGCGTATTTGTGATAATCCACAAGAAATTATGAGTTGGATTACGTAATTTCACTACCATAATCATTATTTCACAGAGTTGCAGTGACGGATCATAGCAATGGCAGCCCGTTTATATTTAGTAAATTTAATATTTCAGGGCATTGCCATATTCGAAGCTTCATTGAGTTTGAAATCTGATGAGGTTTTAGTTGGTGAATAATATTGTTTCGAAAAATAGCTCAAGTTACTCTATGAATAAATAGAATCAAAAGAATGTGTGCTTTTTATCAATATCTGTTATGCATGTACATACATAAAGCTTATAACTATAACTAATGAAGGAATGATATGCTAAAAAAATGTTTTACAACAGTACTATATTCGCTCAATTTCCAGTATATATATAGAAAATTGGCAACCGCTTCAGTACATATTTGCTTTATCAGCACAGAACCAACAGAACGGGGTATATATCCAGTGTATATGGGAACACTTAATCAACACAAATATTTCAATACATTCATATTATAACTATACACCGTACAACCTACATTTACATTACCTCTCATGATATATACCTTGATCTGTTAATGAATGGCACATATAGAATATATGTGTATGCCAAAAAGAGAATGTTATTTGATTTGGCAATCCGTTTGCCGTCTCTTTTCCTCTGTCTGGGGCCGAATTCCAACCCGTATCGGACGTGTGTGACCCCCTGATGCTGACGATGTGACACCCACCTCCACCTACCAACCAACCTGCGATGCAATTCCATACACCACGCCATCTACCGGACGACGACCGTACCACATCGCTGAACGACACGACGGGCCTCGACCATGTGACCATGTGCTGTGATCTGATTGGATGACGGCAACGATTGCAGAGTTCTCGAGCGCTCTCTGTGGAGGATGACGACGAAGGACATCTCATATACAGATCGGGGGATATCCTGCAAGATAGATGTTCGTGAACATGCCTATATTATACGATTATGGATAAGTTTCTATACAAACTATCCCACAGTTTATCCCATCATTTTACTAGTTTATGAATACGCGTGTGATCGGGTTTAGATACATTTTTTTAGAATCGTCGTATGAATAATCGCCGAATAGGAGGAAAATACTTCGAGTAATTATTAATATTAATACTACTGAATAGTTGAGGAATGAATCGAAGTAATTTAGTTTCTTTTATAGATTCATAAAATATTAGTGGCAAAGGTTTAAAAGATATTCTCGAACTCGTACAGAGACGAGATTTCCATTCTTCCCGATTTTACAAGTGCATCTTGAAAAGGGATGTGTTTTATAGGATGGTGTGTGAAAAATTGATTATGCTGAAAATTCAAAGTTGCAAAAACATTAAACTAAATAATGTTGATAATGAAGTATTTTTACTCAAGACTGAAAATGATAGCAAGTGAATGGCACGTTAGGTTTGTGACGTGCAATACTTTACATTCAATTTGGAAAACATTAGTTATATATCAAAGTTTATAAAGAGATAACTGGGCTATTTGTGTATGTTGTAGCCAACAAGCTGACACTTCTATAGTTGCTGATATTTAAAAAAAGTAAATTTTGACTAATTGTTAAGGGAAACCTTAATTTTCAACAAGAACTCATTTTCTAAAAATATGCCATTTATTTTTTAACTCTGTCGGCACTTTTATCAAGCTCAAGAAATCATAACAAGTTGGTATGTACAGAATGTTCAAGATGAAGATGAGATGGCATTTAAATCACAGGAGTGAATGAAATTACAACGATAGATGGATGAGGGAGAATCTCCATAATTTCACACTAGTTTTATAAAACTCATCATTTATCGTTTTTAATTTATTTTAGAAGCAAAGTGTTCTTTGTTTATGTTTTGCCGACGATAAAATTCAAATTACTTTTTTCTAACTCGAAAATTGAAAAATGTAGCTGGACGCTATGATATTTACGTGATGAATGTTAAAAGTATGCTTTGCCCTCCATTGTAAGTCCAACCATCCAAAATCTATATGCTATCCCAGAAAATACTATTGCCAATTCACATACGCTTCCGCAATCAAATTATCTCTCAAATACCGATATTTTTTATCCGAAATGCAGCTATCGAGAGTGCGAATTCTAAAGTGTCCTGAATTCACATTACCTGAACTAAAGTTGAAGTTATCAGTTAAAGTTCTCGTGAGAAATCAGTATTTTTATAATATAGTATTTTCCTCCTATCTTGATGTTTTTAGTTACGAGGTTTGACAGTCGTAAAGAGACTGCTTGTCTACTCGCCGTCATAGTTTCGTCAACTACATATAAAGTTTGCGTTCCACTTTGACCACTAGTGAATTTTCATTTGAGTGGAGCACATACACATTAATATTTTTCCTACGTTGGTGGTCATTCGATATGTGCAGTGAGCAAGTTGCCGTATCAAAATTTTTTGCCAGACCAACTATTTCTGTCATTTGGTGATATTGAAAAGAAATATTTGGTTGTTTGTGGATCGGAAATGCCTTTCCATCGGAATATATATACATCATATATATAATTTTATTATTGCATGCCATTATCATATTTTATCCATAATAAAGATAAATTTGAATTTCGTCTGCAAAGTGGTAAAAATGGTAGATCTTTTGTTGCACACATAACTATATAAATCTATGAATTACATTGTGTTTAGTTTTTTATGTTGCTTTTGGCCTCTTGATATTCTTCTCTAGTTCAGGCGTATATTTTTGTTAGGGTATGTATTTTTTTAGATTCTGGCTAGATAATTTCTTGGTATACACGTATGTTCTAGTTATTGTTTGAAAATTTATGTTGAAATGATGAAGAAATAATCTGTGAAAATAAATCTGTGCTGGTTTTCTGCATACAATTTAACTGTGACCAGTCTTCGCTAGCTATATACAATTTAAATCCGTTGATATTTTCCTCACTGAAAAATCTCTTAGTGTCAGGTCTTATTTACTTTCTTATAAAATAATAACTGAAGGCGACCTGTAACAGCAGACAAAAAACTGATCAACATTACATATACACCTATATCTTATTGCACATAATATCAATATGTTTATCTACGCAAAGTTGAGACATCAATTCTCTTTATAGATACCTGTAGATCATTCCAACAAAATATAGCGATTCCACCGCCCTGGCATTGCTTTCAGCAAGAGGAACTTATTAGTTGAAAATGTTCAAAAATAGTCAAATATAGGGGTTTCAAATAATCATCTGATGCCCATGTTTCAGTTAAAAAAAATAGTTTTCTTTTACATTCAAAGTTAATAATATTTATCTGACTTCATCAATGTGAAGATATGTGTTAGACTGACGAGGTCATTCTTAATTAGCTGCATTCCGCAACTTCAGTATGATTGCTTATCAGAAACCTATGGGTATAGCTGGATAGGTCTTGGAAGTTCCAATTATGGCCTACCCGATCTTTGAACGTGATCTACCTAGATTATCCCTGTGGGACATTCTCAAGTTATATAACACTACGCGAGTTGAATATAATGGAATATCTGAGGAATTGAAATGACGCAAGTATATTTGAGAAAGTTTGACAGTCTATGAGCAAAAAATTAAAAAAAGTATCGCATTCTAACTCAGACTAATGGGAGGTAATCTCAAGAGCTAGAAGTAGATGGCTTTGGCTAGGTTATCGGTAATATTTAAGATTATAAAGAACTTACATTTCTATCAAGTCTTTTTTTTTCTTACAGTATGTACTTTTGACACTTTGGCATCCAATCACACTAACACCGTTTAGCGGAAGAAAAATTGAACATCGCTGCCATTAAGTCAGTTTTGTTTCATTACATTGGTCCCGTTCATCATAACACAACGCTACTGTAGATTACTTCGAGCGCTATTTAAAAGCGATCTAACCGCTGAATGGTATTTTAAACGTGCCACTGGGCTTGTCAGTTGTCAGCTTTCGGATCAAAAATAACAAAAAAAAAGGAATAAACTATGATTGTACCATGAAATGAACCTCTACTAATTCAGTGACCCAGTAGAGGTTGTTTTTGTATTAAGTTATAGTTTCGTTCTTTCCTCCCGTTTTCTCCTGTTTGTTCAGGAATTTGGAAATTTTCTATCATCATCATCAGTCATATCAGCTTTATTTCAACAAGACTGTTTTCAAACCGGACAAAGCAAATACAAATGATTGAACCCGACGAACCAGTGTTTGTTGTATCACGTGATCAAAAGCCGAACATTTTTTAATTATGATGAAAAAAATGGCGGCCGCTCCGGTAGCGCTACGTTGTGATAAACGGGAACCATTGAGAAGCTACACATGCGTTGTTTTAAATCTGTTTCACTCTATCCCGTAGAAACGATGCGGTTTTAACTCGAAATCGTCAAAGGCCAAAGTGATGTTGGTATGATACAAGGAAACACCGTTATCAGCTCATGCATAAAAACAATGTGTTAAATACAATTTTGGATGGCGTATAACCTGGAAACAGAAATGCTTACAGAAAATATTTTAATATCATTAGACTGCGTAAAATACGGGAATAGTAACATCCTCGTTGATGTAAAAGCATTCTCGAGACGGACTAGGATGTTTTTTTAAGTAATAAATCTTCATTATTTTTATTAAGGATTTCTTCATGCGGGAGGGGTGACTATTTGTGAAAAAGTGAAAAGTGTAAATCATTTTAAAATGGTCTATCGGTTTTTACATATCTTCTGACAGTTAAAAACACTTCCGGAGTAAAAAACAAGAACAAGAAAATATACCGCACAATCTTTATATGGCTGTCAAATGTGGAATTTTATCCATCTATTATGATTTAAGCAATCAAAAACATGTTAGTGATACACATACTACCACTTTGTAAGGCGAGATTCTATGCATTATATGATGTGTCTAATGATTATTCAATGTTGCATTGCAGATAAAATACTTGGCACGCTCGGCGAAGGTACTTTTGGCAAGGTAGTCAAAGTGAAAGATGTAGAAATGTAAGTATAACGAAGACACGACACATGCGTCTATGCAGTTTATACAGGGTGTTATAAATTCAAGTATTTCTTTTTCAACTCTCATGTTTTCATGCAGTAGAAATACATTAAAAATTAGTGTACTCCTATATCATCTTTGACAGCACTTTTTATTTGTTGCAAACAAGTTATAGAATTGAATTTTGAATTTCCAAACCCTTGCACGATTATAATAATCGTATTTTTGTCTCATTTTAACCAATTGCCTTACAATGCACAAGGTTCCCATGGTATTACTATAATTTGTAACACCATGTATGAGCTATGACTATTTTAATGCTCAGTGGGTTCAATCAATATTTTGTGTAATAGATATAATTGTACTATATTTTTATATAACTGTTCCTATTTTTAATTGCATTTCAAAAAGAGAATATTTAGCAACTTCTATGATTACCGTCAACAATTGCTCAAAAAGGCATTTTAAAATAGTGTACATTTAAACCGATCAGCCTGTAACATCTGTTTTGATCTGAGAAGAGGTGTCCAGGAATTTACATATTTTGTTGCAGACATTTACTTCGCCTCTCGCATCAAGAGCATTTTGCCAATTTTCAAATGAAACGCTATCAAAAATCAAGTGTCCTCAAAACAGAGCGTACCTCGTTCATCGTGCTAATATTAAAATGAGTCTATTCTGGACAAAGTGTATATGTATACATAATCTATCTTTAGATCAGTTTTAACATTATTTCACCCACCGCTATTTATTCTGTATTGAAATATCATTTTTAAGTTCATAAAGCATTCTGAAATTACGTGTTATTGTTCATTGATATAAATGCGAACATATGGAAGGACTTTTCTAACATATTCTGTTAAGTGTATACTCTGTTTACATCGCACATGATCTTTTGTAAAATTTAGTGTCAAGATGAGTAACTTGTTTTTTGAAGTACATGTATGTCTATATTCGCATATTTTATTTTTTTTTTCAGTTTCGTTTTTAGTTCCAGTAGTTTTATATTTAATATCGTCGTTCTAACGCCGCGTAACTCAAAAAAACCAGATAATACACGTATTTGAAAAAGTGGTGGCCGAAACGTCGTACAATAAAAAGGAATTTTGAGCCTATATGTGGTTTTATTTAGAGGTCAGACAAACATGGAGGATTATAAGATATGCATGGCAGTTAAAAGAAAATCGAGATATCCATCATTATTTTTGCTTTCCTAAAAAGTTGTCAGTTTGAAGTTAGCAGTGTTAGAACTTAGGGATGATATGTCCCCTACCTAATTATCAAATTCCATTTTTCAGTGGCCATGCTTCTATAAAAATCTATGATACTATTATACAACTTTGTCACAAATTGAAATACATGTCTTTCTTGTTTTCACCGCTTGGAGAGGGTGCCCTAAAAATAAATATTGCGACCACATTTTCGGTAAAACCAGTGAATTCTAATTTCACGTCTTCGAGCGCTCTATTTTTGGATATCTGGAAAATATCGCCTCAATGATATTGAATGAATATATAAACTGCAACTAATATTCGTTTCTCCTAATTTTTTCTAGGGATCATTCCATGGCACTGAAGATAATAAAGAATGTAGAGAAATACAGAGAAGCCGCCAAATTAGAGATTAATGTATTAGAAAAGTTAGCTGATAAGGATCCTGACTGTATTCAGTAAGTTTACTTTAATATTTATAGTGCTATATAGTTGATATAATGGTTTTGAAATACCTATTGTTAGGCAGACATTCTTATGAGAACCAATTATGATCAATTAGTCAATTTGATAAACAGCTTGTGTAGAAAACATAACAAAGTGTTAGTCCTAAAAGACGTTATCTACAATTTTTGTATTGAGAGAAAGAACCGTACCTCAATGTTATACCTTGGATTTAATTATTAAATTACTAAAAAATGGAGGCAACGTCTTTTAAAGAGACCAATAATTGGAGATACACTGATTACGATTTTTATTTTACAGCTTGTGTGTGAAAATGTTGGACTGGTTTGACTACCACGGACACATGTGTATCGCCTTCGAAATGTTAGGTTTAAGTGTTTTCGACTTTCTGGTGAGTTTTCTTTGGAGGGGTTTTATAGTTAGCTTTACGTATGTTCTGGGAATTACTATGAACATACTATTATGCATTACTTTGTTGCACTGCACATAGCCGTTGTTATTTTTCTTCAGAGTGACAAGCTTCGAGCGTCAAAAAGGGTTACAAGCTAAAGCTTTCAAAAACTAGTGATGCTTATGTTTTAAAGAGAAGGAAGGTATCATTATTCTTACAAAAATCTGACATGACATCTAGCAAACTTAATGTGTATCCTTGTTCATTTTATCACTAATATATTTAAAAAAAACTCTTGAAACATCAAAAATCGATAGAATCTGCTTAGAAGTTTTAATATTTGTTCACCTTGAATGGCCATTACTCATGGTCCATCTGATGTGACTCAGAGTCCAAAGACGGTTTTTTCTGGCATCGCTTGTGCTTGTTGTTGCAGCTTTTTGGCGAAGCGCTCGTCAAGAGCTTTTATGTTGAGATTTTTTTTTTACTTCTACTGATTATTTTCTACGTTCATAACTTCATAAAATTACACTCTCAATGTTTGTCACCTACTGGTGACTGTACAATATGCATTCATATTATGTCATAGCTTCTTAAATTAATCACTATCGTATCGTGCTACAGGTTAAGATCTTTTAGGTTTGTGATGTTTTTCATTGGCATTGAGTTCATTATCCTATACATACGCTACCCTAGACCTATATTAGCTTAGCTGTAGCATTGTGATGTTCTGGGTGGCATATAATGGTGATTAGGGTAGGTTCAGTAACTACTCGCACATTGTAAAACTGGTCATTGTGAAGGACTAGTAAAATATAACGTGTCTCAAGTTTTCCATTAGGAGGGTTCGCTTATTTGTAACGTTATCGGTTTACAATGAAATTCATGATATTTTTCAACTTAGTTTTAACCATTTCAATAAACCTTTTTTTTGTTTCCACAGAAAGACAACAGCTATCAGCCGTACCCGCTGGATCAGGTGCGACACATAGGCTACCAGTTATGTTATTCCGTCAAATTTCTGCATGACAACAAGCTCACACACACTGATCTCAAACCCGAGAACATCTTGTTCGTTGATTCCGACTATGATTTAGTGTACAGTAACAAAAAGGTAAGCTATAAGTTATTTTACAGTCATTTGTGGGATTCCAGCGATATATTAAGATTAAGATTAGAAAAAGAAACGCGCTACTGCAACCATCACTTTAAGCGCTTTTCAGAAGCGATGTAACCTGTGGATGGTACTTTGATATCTGTCACTGGGCTTGTCAGTTCTCAGCTTTCAAATATAATATTGAAAAGCGATTAAAAATGTTACTGAATAGGGATTTTGTTCTCGTAAGTTATAGTTTCGTTCTTTCCTTACATATTCCCCTGTTTGTTCATCATATTTGACATTTCATATTGTACGCTGTTTTCAAACCGGGTAAAGCCGTTACCACCGAGAGTACAAGGCCTGACAACAGACGCGTGACGTTACCACGAGTATACCGGTCGGCCGGCCGACAGCACGGCGTGCCGTACATCAGCGCTAGTGAATAATATATTATTGCAGCATATTTAATACACTCTACCTGATGTAAATAACATAATTCAGAAAAGTGTTTTTGGTATATGAAGGCAACTTGGTGGAAAATATTAAAGTAGTTATTAACTATGTTCACCCTGATTTTCACTAATATTTCATCCAACATTACGTGCACATTAGATTAATAAGTTGATGTTATAAAAGCTTGTTAAAAATGATAAATTCTTCAATGAATAATGTTAGTCACAACCGATCAACAAAATTTCACAGGAATATGTGGACAATTTACTATTATTATAGGCATAATATAATGGTACTTGAAAATTATATAAAAAATGTAGTGCTTGTAGAACAGTTGTATCCAGCAAGAAAGAAAGGAGGTCTGAGGTAAGCTCTTGCCAGGAAAGGAATAAGGAAGATGGGGAGGAAAAAGTGTAGGATAAATGATAAGAAAAACAGATAAAATCAAAGTAAAATAAACAACAGAAAAAACATAACAAAGATTAACGAAAACTTAATAAAAACTCTTAGAACAAACAAATAACAGCACAAAGTAATAACAAAAATTAGAAAACAGAAAACAAGTATCAAAAATAACATAAATTAGAATAACGAAAATTAAAGTGCTAAATTCTGAATATGTACAAATAAACATTTATCTACAGCTATGCAAATGTTGCGGCCTCATGTGAATGTAGTCAATTTACGTTTCTTTGCTTTATTCGCGCTTGCAAAGCTGTCGTTCCTTTTGGCACAATAATTTTTCAAAAATGTATTGACTGCAAATAAAAATTAGTTTTATAACATAATCTGGTGAATGGACTGTGCAACGCGAAAATGAAGTGTCGTGATTATTATCACTCAGATTGTTAATTATCAACTGAGAAAGAGCGCTCTTATCAGTGATTTCTAAAAATGATTCCTCGTCACTTTCCAAAACTTTATTGAAAATTATATAACTTAGCATGACAATATTAATAACTGGATCTTTTGGGAATTCTAAGCCACCTCTACTCAAATTCTGTATAATATTGTGCTTGTCGTCTATATCAATATCATCTGTGTGTGTTAAATTTTCCTTACAATGATCGCAGTGATTTTTCTTTAATAAGGCATAACAACAGTAATCATTAAAATTGTGTGGAATTTCACCTATTTCTAAATCTTCATTTTCACAGAATTTATCTATTTGTATATCACCATAGCGAGACTTCAATGACATCAGGCTTTGAGTTCGTAACTTTTTCTCAGATTCATATAACTGACGAATTAATATATTATATTGACCCCCTGCCAGTTGACGATACTTACCAAATCTATTTTCCAATGAGTCAGTTTGGAATTTACCTAACAATATATAATTACTGTGCAGTTCAGATTTACAGTACCTTACTAATTCCAATAAGCCATATACTGTATGATGTAGTGCAGTGTAAGTCTGACTAGTTAGACGTTTTGAAAATTTTGTCAACTTACTTTCACCGTCATCACCGTCATCAATATTTTATGACTTTCCATTTGGTACAATGTTTTAAGAGATTTAAATAAAGCAACATTTACCTCGTGTGTTTCAAAATCTGGGTATGTTAAAATTTGGTCTGGTTTTGAATTCAGCCAATTATTGCGGATACATTTTAGAAGGTGTATTGTATCAAAAAGGAAGAATAGGGGACGTTTTTTATCCAACAGATACGGATAAATAATGCTTGTTTTATTATCTGGAGAAAAATGTGCCATCGCATTACTATTCAGTGCATTATTATCACTTACAACACAAAAAATTGTATAACTAAGTTCTTCTAATCCAATAATAAGTTTTTTTGTCATATTATATAATAGATTATGATCAATTTTAGAAACAGGACAGATTTGAACAACTTCTTTGAAATTGGAGTAGAAGCTTGAAATCATAAACACAGGCTGTTGTAGCTAATGAAGTATTATTAATTGACGTTTCAACAATATTACCCCCTTTGACATCTAAATATGGCTGAATGTGTATTACATCCATCAATAAAATCATGTACTCCTCACCAGGTTTTACAAATCTGAAAAGGTTTTTTGCATAGCCTAAAAAGTTATATCTCTCATTGGGAACTGGATCGACCATCAATGTATTACATATTGACTTCAGAGTATTTTGGTGTGTTAAAATAAGTGCTCCATGGCTCCTAATAAATCTATATGAATGTGGACTGATTGTATACAGAGCAAAACAATATTGTTTCTGATGAGTAACTGTGTCTGTTCTTCTGACTGATAGCGAGCTTTAGTTACTCACAAATAAATTGAATGACAGTGTGGGTCTCTTCATCGGTGAATAGTTCTGTGCTATTTAAAATATTGTAAGCATGGTTGATACTGGCTCTGAACTGGTCTTTACCTGAATATTCCTTTGAAGCATCTGCATTCTCAGAAAGAACATGCAGAACATCATCCAAATGGTGTATATTAGATAATATAAATGGAGTTTTAATATTACCTGAGTTGAGTAACAATTCTTGGGAGTACATATACGTTTTTACATTGAGATCTTTATCAACAATTACAGAGTGAGTTATGATGGGTGCTGGTTTATATTCTAACTTACACAAAGTAACTTTATCCTGAACAATTTTATGCCATCCATATGGACATTGCCATGAACTGAAAACTGTGAGAAAGTCTGAATAATTTTGAAAACAAGTTGATTTTTGATAGGAGGAATAATCATCAATGCTAGTTTGCAGTGCTTTAAGTAGTTGTTCTTGTTCCTTGTCCCTCAATTTCTCATCTCGGCTTCTGCTTGATATGTCCTTTGAAAGGTATTTTGGACAATTTGCAAAGATACTTGGGAATTACATCTGCCTTTAATTTTGGATACTTAAGGGGTACAGTAATGGTCCTACCTGTCTTTTCGTCATGGAAGGTGGATTCCCAAATGATGCTGTCCTCAGCAAAGTGCAAATTGCATACTCTGGTGTTTTTTGTAACCACTTAATCAGTACGAGGGATTGCATTGAGCCATCTTTTACGTCAGTTTTCGTTCAATGGAAACGGAAATATGTGTACCTTTGGACCCTTCCCGTAATTACCGACACGATTAGGAACGCAGCACTTGTAAGGCATTTTGAAAACTTGGCTAAACAATCGCGAGACACAAATATAAGTTTAAAACATCAATAATTTTCAGTTTACATAGCATAGAAAGATGAGGCTCAGAATGTGAGGTTAGTTGGCAAGGTTGCCACATATTCCAATTTTGAATGGAATATTAAACTTCACAAGTGACAGATTGAACGTAATATCGAAAATGTATTCTTGACATACTGAGGCAGATCAGAAAGAATAATCACATCATCTCTGAAGCTGCGCAAGCCCCGAGTACATCTTGCAAATTCGCCCACAGAGAGGTACAACTAATTAGTAGAGATTTCGATACTGCTATATCAAACCTTGATATGACAACACCCCAGAGAAATGGTGGCGCGGTTCACTTGCCGCCAAGCATCGCGAAACTCCATAGGAACATGCATAGGTCTACTCTGCGTGACGTCACATACCAAAGATTTCGGAAATACTAAGGGGATGAAAATGAACATTATCTTTAATAATAATCATAATAATAATAATGTCTCTATTTAAATACAAAGAACCAAGAGAGACATAAGCAGCGAAGTTTATTCAAGGCTACTCTTACACTTAACTACTTATGTCGGTTACATTAGATGATCAAAACAAAAGAAAAAAAATTATATTACAAAGAGAAAAAACATATACACCTATGTGAGCATAAAAATCAGATTTCGATTATACGAGAATTTTATGAAATAAATCTATGTACTTATATTTAACTAGATTAGAAGCAATTTAATTTTTTATAATTTTCACTAATTTGATCATATCTTCGCAGGCCGAAAATAAAGCAAACCCAGTTATTTTGAATGATTTGAAGCCGGTTTTTCATTAACTGATCTATACACGGGTAATAAACGACATCATAGTAGCTGAGTATTGACTTCACCAATAATTCACAGAGTTTTTCCCTCAACTTGAAGTTGAGCTAGCATCGAACAGAATGAAGGGCTCTAGAGAAATATGTTTTTTTTTTTCATTAAACTAGCTGTATGGCTGTGGAATCTTAACTTTCAACGTCAACACCCAATATCTTTGCTGTTTGAGTATGTTGTAGCACTGTGCCATAAATAGTTGATTGGAAAGAGTGTTCAACGTTTCTTCTTTTATGGTCAGAATAAAACATTATTACGTTTAATCTGGATTAATAGCGAGATTATGATCTACGGAAAATTTATGTATTTCATCCAAATCTATTTGCAAAGTGGGTGCTGCGTATATTGTGGTGTCGAAATTATAAATCAACAGACAAAGGTGTATATCAAAAAAGCACAGGGCCCAAAATTTAGCTTTGCTTAACACCTGAAGGTATTATCGTGATATCGGACTGTATGTTATTAATACTGACACATTGCGTGCGAATTGACAAATAGCTGCGAAAGAAACCCACTGCATTGTCATCAAAGCCTATGTACTTCAGCTTTGCGTATACAATTTTATTATTAATTTGGTCAAATGCTTTGGAATAATCATGTGATACTACTCCTGTAGCCATTTTTGTCTAGTGCCCAAATAACATCATCACAAAGATCTAAGAGAACTGAAGTGGTGCTATGGTGCTTCCTGAAACCTGACTGACACGAAGATATTATTTTATGTTCTTCTATATATAGAACAACTTGTTGCTCTATGATTTTTTCTAGAATTTCTGAAAGCACGGGTAATAAGCTTATAGGTCTTAGATGTTTAAGTTCGGTAGAATTTGATATTTTAGGAACAGACATAATTAAGGTCAACTTCCACCGTTTAGGGTGGTAACCTTTTTCTAAACACAAATGTATAGTGTGAGTAATATGAAAGAAAGTTACATGAATACTTTGATCATAATTAATGATAGAGTGTCAATTCCCTCAGCATCTAATTTGAGATCTCTAATGGCTTCTAATATTTCTGATGGCTGGACAACACGGAACCGAAATCACTTTCGGTTGTCCAATTTGTTGCTATCGTAGAACCGACATACTTTTTCTGAAACACTGTCAAAGCTATACACGGACATAAAATTATTGTTTATTTTATTAGCGTCAGCTAGTTCAACTGGTATTGCTGGCTGTGAGCTAGATTTTATATTGAGCTTGCTCAATCTAGACCATAAAGCTTTCGGATTATTTTGGTCAGTTAGTTTTTGAATGTAGTCTTTCTTTTTTATTCGAATTTTAAGTAAGGCTCTTTTTCTCAGTTGCTTGAAATCCTGAAATCCTTATATACTAAGGAACGTCAATATATATGAATATGGGCTATTAGCTCATTCCTTTCTGTTAAAACTGATTGGCCAGTCCAAAATACATTCACACTTCAAAGGAGTTTCCCCACTATCAGTAGCAGAAGCAGCTAAAACTCAAGTAGCGATGAGGTCACCGATGAAGAAATGAAATCAATCGGTGTAACTACTCGTGTTATTGAAGGTGTTTTAAATAAAATTATAGGTCCTCCCACTACTTTAACCAACATATCTGTCTATCTAAGGCAAATTTCCAAAATCTTTGAAGCTTACGATAAAATAGTTCCCGTCCCAGAAAAGGGAGATCCTACTCAAGTTGATAATTACGGCCCTATATCACTATTGCCAATATTTTCTAAGATAATCGAAAAGGCGATCCATTCAAGAATTTTGGGATATGTTGAAAAATTCAACCTAATACCAAGCTCGCAGCATGGATTTAGGAAAGTGCATTTATTAAAGACAGCTACTTTTGAGTTTGTAAGTCAGATCAATAAACAGCGATATGAATAAATGTATAGCGGGCATTTTCTTTGACCAATCGAAAGCTTTCGATACAATTGACATTGGGCTGGAAAAATTATTTTATTTAGGTTTGAGAGGTTTTATATTAGATTGGGTAATGTCTTTCCTGTCTGAAAATTCAAAAAAAAGTATCTGGAATGACATCCGCAACGTACAGTATCGACGTTGGAGCAGCGCACGGCTCAGTTTTGGCACCCCTTGTATTCGTGCTTTATATATGTACGTGATTTGCATCTCTCTGGATTTTAAACGCTGGAAAAACTAAAGACCGTGTGTATAGAAACAAAAATAAATGAAACTGAACCAATAAGGTTTTGTATTTAACATTTTTTAAAAACATTGATTTCTGAGGAAAGGAGATGAATTAAGCTACGTTATGTTGGCCACCCTGAGCATATATTAGTTTTTCTTAAAATTCATAATTATAGCTGAAATCGACTTTATCTATTAAATTTATTCCATGCGAAAAAATAATATGATTCAAAGAACCACTTTATTTGAAAAAATCCTTTATTACAAGGTATAATTTTGAAGATGGGTCATTGGATCGGGTAGCTCTGTGGATATGTCGCTGTTTTTAATACCTCGTTTTAAATGGAGTCTTTCTTTATTGTACACATCTTTCTTTTTCAATGACATACTTCTTATTTCTTTTTTAAATTATTTTAGTCTAAATGCAAGAAGTGTATTAAGGCTGGGTATTCATAATAATCGAAATATCATTGCATTTTATCTACGTCACAATGATATACGAAATAAGTGAACAGATTGACTAACGGTACCATGTGCGTATCTTAACTTTCCTAAGGGGAATTGCACATTGTGCAAGCCGATTCGTAACGCAGATGTGACTCTTACACGTACTTGAATCACTTTCTGAAAACATTTCTATACATTTAAGACTGTCGACATTGTAGTTGTATTCTTAGGCATTCCTATGTTAATATTGAAAAAGATCAATAAAGGTGAACACAAATTGCATGCCCATGACAACCAAATTGGCGTACTAGCAGTAACAAAGATAAATGTCGAACACTCACCCGTTGACGAGAAAATGTTCAAGCAGAGCCAAACCAAAAAAATGTTTGTCCTTTACAGTTTACAAAACAAACCCGCGCATAGAGGCCGATTGTATATTTATATGTAAGAGTGATGGATGTGTGAAAATAACTCCTGTTTTACTGTGACCCGCCAAAAACCGAGATATACGTGACAATCAATAAACATCAAATAACCAGAAAAATCAAAACAATTGCTCAATACATTACATATTTTATCTCGTCTTCAGTCTAATGTCTCTAATTTTTCTATCCGCAAAAGTATCATTTACGAACCTGGTTCCTATTTTATGACTGTATTTGATTTCTTTTCAGCGAAGAGAAGTCAAGAGGGTGAAGTGTACTGATGTTAGACTGATTGATTTTGGCAGCGCTACCTTTGACCACGAACACCACAGCACAATTGTCTCGACCCGACACTATAGAGCTCCCGAAGTAATTTTGGGTAAGATGTATCCCGGATTTTGTTTCTACAAGCTTTTCTGTATGACCTGTACCAGTACCATGAAAAATCATGTTTTATAGAATTTGGTCATACAGCAATCCTAATGCACTCTCAAACTGTGGTGTGTCGTATGTTTGTTTTTTTTATATGTGTCCAACGAAAGTGCTATGTAATACAATTTTTTTAAATGGTGATAATGATAGACACTTTTTTCTGATTCAAAATATATATGGTTTGTTATACATTTACCTTTTAACCTCAAGATATAAAGTCATTATCCTTCAAAATGGCGATCCGGCAGGCTACAAAAGTAATCGTTTTTGTACATTAAATCACTTGTAACTTTACAACCGATCATCAGAACATTATAGTGTATATCAATCTTATTTTCCTGAAATAATATCTGTTCGAATGTGTAATAAAGTTTGGAACATTCCATTTGAAAATTTTCAAAATATGTCATTTTTGTTTGAATTGAATGTCCCATATTTTGTTGCAAATCAAATAGGCCCTTCGGAAAGACTGATATAACATACTATAGGGGTCTAATGTAATGCTTAGATGTTGAGGTATTGTAGACAAACGCTAAACTTTGACTTCAAATTGAGGTACTAGACGACCCCCATTCTATCTAAAACAATGTTCTAGGTAGCGCCAACATTTTCTAATGCAAAACTAAAGAACTTTGCAACACATTAATTCAAGACGATATTTGACTGTAATTTTATTTTCAGAATTAGGTTGGTCACAACCATGTGACGTATGGTCGATAGGTTGCATTCTTTTCGAATTGTACCTGGGAATCACCCTGTTCCAAACACACGATAATAGGGAACATCTTGCGATGATGCAAAGAATACTTGGGGAAATTCCGTTGAGGTAATCATACTATTTTATAGTATATTTAATATTTAAAATTTGAGATACTAATTATGCTTATATTTCAAAATCCTGTACTGTAATGAAAACTATGAAATTTGAAAGATTTGGAACTTCCTCTCATTTACACGAATTTTCTTATTATATACACACATTTTGACATCTTCAAACTGTTACGGTCAGAAATTGAAATAAGGAGTACTGAATGTTCCTTCAAATGAATTAGGAGCAACTAAAAAAAAAAAATTAGCAACATAGCGTCACCATTGCTTTTTTATTCAAGGATGGCTCGAAAGACAAAAACAAAGTATTTTTATCGAGGAAAGCTGGAGTGGGATGAGAAGAGCTCAGCTGGGCGATATGTGAGAGATAATTGCAAACCATTGATGGTAAGTAAAAAGAGGTATATTACACCTATGTCATTTCAATTTGCCCTAATTATTTATCAAGGCGGGCTCTATTCGAGAAAACCTGGAATTCTTAAATTTCCTCTGACTGAGTAAAAGCGGAGAATGTTAATTACCATTCAGTAACTGACCATTTGTATAAAATATCAAATTCATCATGCAATAAATGCAGCGATTCTTTTTACTTCCCACATCAATATGCGCGGAAGTAATGTATCTGCAAAAAAATATAATTCAGGGTTTATTTTCGTATCATTAGATAACGTTTACATCACAAGAACGGCTATCAATTGGCCGCCGAATGAAATTATTGAATGAAGTAACAACTGATTAAACTTTTGCCCCGAAACACTGCGTAACGTTTCAACAATGTTGCAGTCGAAGTGTAAACAATGAATTCATACCAGGCACCTCAAACTGGTCGAAAAATTGCCTTGAGGCATTGCGATTCGCTCCGCAACGTTGCAACGTCAAACCTATCTGAATTACATTTCGAGGCAAAACGTCTGGAATCGTTCGAGCGCTCAATTGCTTTGTTTCCTTGTCACACGCTTGTCACCGATGCTATTGACATAGCCTGTTCGATAGAATTGAAAAGGTTAATTTTATATTACAATTTAAGAACCTGGCGGGAAGAGAGTGGTCACTATTGAATCAAAAGTAAAAAAAAATGTGAAGATAAAATAGTATCGACCTGTGTGCGGGGCTGCAAGTATCCAAACCAGATTGAAACATTTTGTTTTAAGGCAATTTGTTTTGAAAAACAATGTTACGATCTATCTACGGCTGTCCTAAAAGTATTAGCGACAAGCGATCATGTGTTGATTTTGGATGTCAGTTACATTTAAAACCTCGTGCTTACCGGTCGGTTTGGAGATGCTGGGAGCAGGAATGCCTGTCCTGGACAGCTCTAGCCTTTGCTGAGCTTACACAGTACGTTTCTACGTTGTAACGTTATTCAAACATACTGTGTAACAGTACATTAGTGTATTAGTAGTGGTGGTGGTGGGGAGCCGAAACCTGGCAACTAGGCAACCTTATACCATTTTTGCCGACCTCGTTGTACCACCACTGTACTACTCTCCACATGCGTATCTACTGGTAACTGGTTATTGTATAAACCAGCTCCATTTTGTACTTTCAAGAAGGTCAGTGAAATAGCCGAAACTTCAGTAAACTTTTACTTCTGTATCTGGAGTTTCATTTTGTGACTAGAAGAACATACAAATATATTAGCAAGACAACTACATGATGCTTCAAAAGTTAAAAATGTTCGGTAATCCGTAGAGCTGATCGTCTGGCTAGGCTGTGCCTAAGCAGCAGTCAGGTTAACACCACCCTGAACGAATCGGTGTACAGCAGGGTAAATTATATTTTCATGCCCCTCTTTACTTTTTCAATAAATACAAAAAAATACGCACATTATATTCGTACAAAGACTTATTTTAATTCTAATAAAAAAACTTTAAAAGTTTAAATAAACTAATAAATGTTTTTTATCGAAAAACTTGAATAAAATAAGAGTAGGTACTAATGAGACACTTGAGATTGCATGTTCTGTACGCGTTGGTTGATTCTAGGTTCTGTTTTTGCCAGAGCGATCATCAGGTCGCTATCGACATTAAGACGATTTCGTTGTTTAGTTTTAATTAAAACTAGAGCAGAAAAGCATGTCTCACATGAGTAAGTTGAAGAAAAAGGAACTAGTATTCGTTAAGCAAGAGAGGCAAGTGTCGAATTAACAGGCAATCTTTTGATCCAAAATTTATCCAATGTTAAAAGATGGAAGTCATCTTTCATGGACGAAACAGCCGTCATTTCTAGAAATTCTTCCTGAACTTCTTCTGGTAATCGTGACACATCGACAACAAAGGATTACTTGTCGTGTGCCATGTCTCGATAGTATCGGCGAAATTCGTCTTCCAGCGCTTGCAAATGATTTTTTATGTCAGCTTTTAAATTTGCGTCCAGTATGTTATTTTTAATTGCTTCGAACAGCCGAGAAAAAGAGATAACATTTTCAGAAGACACTTTTTGATTCCAAAGTTGAAACTTTGATATGAACCCCTGAATATAACCATAATTGCTCATTATAGTGTTGTTTCTGCCTTGAAGTTTCAAGTTTAGCTCATTCAATTAGTCAAATATATAAATAAGCCAACCTCCACTGAAATGTGTCATCATTGAACATTGTCAAGAAATCGTGTTTTTATTTGAACTCAAGAAAAAGAATTACCTCTTCTTTCAATACATAAAGGCGAGCCGACATGTTGCCTTTGGACAGCCAGCGTACTTCTGTATGGAACAGAAGAACTTTGTGATCAGAATCGAGATCATCGCAAAGTAAAGAAAATAACCGACTGTTCAAAGCGCTGCTCTTGATGTAGTTTACAACCCTTATAGCCGAGTCCAAAGTCTGCGGTAATTTCTGTGGCAATGCTTTGGAAGCCAAAGCTTGCCGATGAATAACACAATGTGTACTAACCATTGCGCGATTTTTTTCCTTGAGCTTTTTAGCTAAGCCCGATCGTACACCTATCATTGCAGGTTCGCCATCTGTGCAAAGTCCAATGAGTTTCTTCCAATCCAAATCATTTTTTTCAACAAAATTTGGCATTGAATTAAATAAATCTTCAGATGTAGTACCTGCAGTCAAAGGTTGGGAGTACAAAATCTCTTCTTGAATGATATCTCCGCCGATGTAACGAACGTAAACTATTAACTGTGCACAATTAATGATGTCGGTGGATTCCTCGCAACTAATGCAAAAAATGGCGATAATTTTACTTTGTTAATCATTTGTGACTTTATGTCTTTATTCGAAAGAGAAATAGACTTTATTTTTTGCTCTGCATCTTCTCCTAAAATTACCTGCGTGGCTTTTAGGACACATGGTTTTATTAATTCTTCACTGATAGTATGAGGTTTCTTTTGATTTGCTATCATAAAAGCTATTTCAAATGAAGAATTGAGATGCTGCGATACACCTGTGTGATAACTTCGCGATTTATCCAGTCTCATCCGTTTGAGTGATTCTGCTTTAGAAGAAAAAAAAACGAGAGTAGGATGTGGTTGCTTTAAATGCCTTTCAAGGCGATTGGACTTATGCTATCAATGCTTAAAACTTTCATACATATCACACACTGAGGCAATTGTAACTAATCTGTTTCTATGAACGTAAATCCAAACGTAACGTAAACTACGCCGGGTTTTGAAAGAGCGGTTGACAGAATAAATGAATATGATATTTCATTTCTATTTTTATGCGTGTAAATTAAACATTACGTTGAAATGTTATTTGTTAATGTTGTGTGTTTTTTCTTTCTAAAATTCAAACGCTTTCCGCCCCCCTTGACATCTGTCTATGTCTCCCTTGGGAGGCGCGCCCCCCTGGTTGGGAACTCCTGGTGTACAGAAAAAGCGTGGCGAGAAAGCAGTTGGACCAAGAGGTTCGTGGGCCCCGACAAACGTCGGATACGCTGGTAACGACAGCTGTAGAGAATCGCTCAACCTTTTGGTGGGGGTTCTCGCCGGCCCCTGCAGACTGAACAGACACTTATTGCATTCAAGGATGAGGAAAGATCCGACCTGCCCTTGTGTTGGGTTCCACTTTCTGGGCTATTGCCCCATGTATTGCAGTCTAAGGGCTGAGTTATCCGAGGCCATAGAGTTTGATGGTGAAGTTGCTTACTCAGCGGAATGGTCGAGCATCCTGACATTTATTAGTAGATCAGGAAGTTTCGATGCATTGGTGATTTAACGTGTGGAGTATAGTGCTGGTACACTCAAGGTCCACAAAAAGCACCAAAGGAGGCCTACTTGCCTGGCTTCGCCTCCCCACCACTACTGCTGATGGTGGCTAGTAGAACATGCATATACCTATATTTATATATTAGGAAGGCAAACACAGGAAGTTTTAGAAGTTAAAAAGGACATTTCCGTTTGTATGTCTTTCGTTGTCTCCTCGGTAATCTGTTGCCTCAATAACTTTGATAATGTCCTGGATTTTGACACTGAATGTCAGAGCAGGACTTAAACAATACGCTGTTTTGCACGCGATAAAGCTCATATTTCTTACGGTACTGAGGCAATTCTCTTTTGCAGCGATACAAGCAGAGCGAAGAACCCGAGCATAACTACTTATTCGACCTGATCTTCAAGATGCTCGAGTACGAGCCATCAGAGCGCATCACGCTGAAAGAGGCCCTGCAGCATCCGTTCTTCGACAAGATCCCGCCGCACCAGCGTCTGGTGCCTGTTGCTGGTGAGCGCAGCAGCGGTCCAGCTGGAGACTGCAGGCGCTCCCTGTCGCGATGATGGAAACGCTAGGATATACCTCTCTCCTACTTATTGTATTCTAATTTTTCACCTCAAATAGATACTATCGATGACAACACCTAACGTGTGTCCGTTCTATTGTCAGTTTTTATTTATATTTACTACTTTCAGCGTGCGAGTGGCTTGCGATGATCAGTTATGCCGGTTTTTATAGAATTAGGATAAGTATTCGTCCAGATATGGCAGCTATAGTCTAAGCCCCAACGACACTCGACCCTGCGGGATCGGAAATGTGAATAAAAATGGTATCGGGGTGGGGCTGGGAATGGGGGAATACAGGACACTGTCAGACGGGCACACCTTGTGTTTGGTTTGATTAATTATTTGAAAATTGTAAAATTGACGTAATTGTGACATAATTTTGATCGACATTTCAACCAAAAAGCGTCTGGTATATACACGATTTCTATTTCAGTTATGGAGGAAGCATATATAGGGTGTTATTTAGACATATGAAAAAAACGTTTTCTATACTGTTGGAAAAAGTGTTTGCATGGAGTGTATGTTACGCAACACGACTGATGCATTCTCTACATATTAGTAAATATTATAAAAATTTCGTCATGAATGCGAATCTTTGAACTTGTTTCGTCACCAACCGAAAAGTAGAATCACGAAAAAGTTTGAACAGTTTCTAATTGAAATATATGTGTAGTTAGCAAATAGTTTAAGAGCCGTTAGCAAATAGTTTAAGAGCCAACGACACTTGACCCTACGTAATCGGGAATGTTGATAAGAATGATAGAGTGTAACTGGTAATACAGGTAAGGTATGTCGGATGAAATAAATATGGTGTTGCAAAGTTCCTCAATTACTTATTATAGTAAAACTCAGGAAAACTACGTCATGAGGAATGTTAACGAAAGTTAAAACATTGGATTGTAGCTGGAAGTGAGCTAACCTTTGTTGGAATGACGAAAAGGGCTGCCATAAGTAAGGTTGTTTTTTTAAATGTAGTTCAAAAACAAATATAAATATGTCGGGCGAGGAAACTCCTGTACCAGATACGATGTTGGACGGGTTTATGGATCGATTTTCGAACCTACATTTTGCGAAAGTAATATACAGAACAAAATAACAGTTATTCTGAAAAAGTTGTTTTTGAAACTAATTTCTCTTAGAACAAACCTGTGTCTAGGTCGAAACTTGCCTTGGGCGAAGTTTAGCATAAGCTATTCAACCACTTAACCCGTAAAATGTCAATACATAAAATAAACTATACAAACATCAGTTTATCTTTTAATTTCATACAATCTGCCCGTGAAGTTAATGTCAGTCAAATAATAGTACCTCAATTAAATAATGATTTTAATAAGTATTTAAAACGAATTTTTCGCAAATAATGCTCATTTTGAGCCTCTTAGTTGGGAATGAGGTCTATATTCAATTTCTAGGTCGCTTAATACTTTCATAATGAGATAATAAATATCTAAAACCGACATTGTACTTGAGACAGGTATTTCCCCGTCCGACATATTTTTTTTGTTTGTGAAAGTCTGAACTTTATTATAAAAATAATCGTTAACATTCCTTATGACGTATAGGTAATTGTTATTAACAGTCCCTTTGCGCCCGTCCGACAAGCGTTTGCAACAAGCTAATAATCCCATATGATATTCATTAACATTCTTCGTGACGTAGTTTTCCTAAACCTTACAACTTTTCCATAATTAATCGAGGAACAGGATATGCCCGTCGACATTGCAGTCCTGTCCATTACACTCGAATACCGTTCTTATCAGCATTACCGATCACATAGGGTCGAGTCTCGCTGACTCTTAAACTATTTTTTAAGAACTCATGTATTTGAAGTAAAAACTTTGCTCATTCCCGTGTCTCTACCTCCATGTTGGCGGGAAAACAAGTTCAGTTGCTAAAGTTTTCACGGAATCCCTTTCAAACACTATTTACTAATCTGTCTTTTGGACAATGCAGCAGTCATATTGCGGAACGTACACTTCATTCAAACACGTTTTTCCAACAGGGTAGAAAACGGTATTTTCAGAAGAATAAATAACATCGTGTATATGTTTCCTTCACCACTGATATAAAAATGGTGCCCATGGTAGCTTTGCGGCAGCAATCTACATAACCATTGTTACCAGACGCTTTATTGTTGAAATGTCGGTCAAAAGTATGTCAACAATTTTTAAATAATTAAGGAACTTTGGCATAGGATATGCCCGTCCGACAACGATGTGCTGAATTTCCTCCATTACCAGCCACAGTCCGGTACCATCTTTATCCACATCGCCGAACACAGGGTCAAGTGTCGTTGGAGCTTAGACTACTAGTGGATAGACGTAATGTCGGTTGGTTTTATGCTAGAACTATATTACTCCATCAGGTAGGGTCAACAAAGTTGTTTTACAGAACCTAGAGATTCATAAATCTTGCAATTTCATCTTCACTATTGTTTAACATTGTTTATCTATTGTAGTCTTTAAAGGCAAGGTTTTTGGAAATTCGGAATTGGTAGATACCAACGAATTCAGACTAGGTAGAAGCAGCCAGTCAAGGATTTGTTTCTCTTTATCGTTTGTAGTGAGGAGCAATGTTCACTTGACATAAGTCAATTTTATGCCAATTCTGGCATTATCTTCGTAGTTTTAGCGTTAGTTTTTAAAGTGCGAGTGTTTGCTGATAATTGTGGTGTTAGACGATTTCAAGATGTGTTGATTATTAAATAATTTTTAAGTGCAGTACAAGCTTAATGAAGGCAAGTATTATTATGTTGATACAACGCCGTCACCTTGGTTAGGGATTGGTAGACAAATGAGTCAAAAGTATGCACCAAAATTATGCGATTTTGGCAACAAACAATGCAATGTAAACATATAGGCTTGGTTCATTCTAGTCTATTCGAATTCGTTGGTAGATACCAACATGTTTCTAGAATCAATTGTGTCTCATTGTTGTTTGGGGGACATCCTGTCAAACAGATTTGCATAAATTGATCCAAATTATTGAAATATCCAATTTTTTCAAAGGTAAATGTGATTCGTCTACCAGCCAGTAATGGAGTTCACTTGACTTGTTCTTTTGTCAAGGAAACCAAGCGAAATAACTTATTAGCTATTGGTTAGTGAAAATTATTTTATTGGAGAAAAAATAAATAGAACGGTTCCGCCATATAGAGGTTTCAGCAACTAAATGCAAAAATGCATGTCCGGTTTTAAAATTGTTGGATTCCTTTTTTGATAAAAATGTTGCAAGAATGATAGTGAATTTTTTTATAATCTTTTGCATAAAGTGTAGCTTGAATACAGAAAAAGTATTTTATTCTTGAGCAGAGCATTTTCAAATTAGTAATTTTTAAATATTTGACATTTTATTAGATCAACATGGTATTATGATTAATACCCGTATTTGTAAAAATTATTATTGCTTATACTTAATATTTGTTGCTAAGATTAGGATTATGATCAGGAAATTTCTGTCTGGAATAAATTTTCTGTAATAATAGGAAGTTTCGAGATCACACCATCATGGTATCTGAGCCTCAGATGCTCTGCAGCATAAAAGTATTTTTTTTTTTTAAATCAACCAACGTTAATTTGCTACGGTAAATGTTTTACATGGGGGTTCAACAGTGCTGCCCAAGTCTGTGGGAACTGAGTGTTCCTAGGATTAAACTTCATTTTAAGCTGTTATGTAACTAGACTATCGTAATCCACTTGGATTGTCTAGTAAACATTTTACATTTGCTTATAGAGTATGAACTGTGTGGTCAACATTCTAGATGTATTTTGTTGTTACGGATTTGATGGACGTTGTGTATTTATTTAAGTTACAGTTTTTGACAAGTTTACCTAAATGCAATTTGTGAGATTTCTCTCTAGGAAGCAAATGCAGTTTGTATAATCAAGGTTGTTAAGAACGAGTAATTATATTCTGTGTAAATATTGCATAAATTAAAATATAGTTTTTATATGACTGTGCTTCATTTCTTTTGAACTTGAGTGATAAAATGAGAAACTAAATTACTGATGAATATCTGAGTTTCCGCAGTACCCATGGTGTGGGGGTAAGGAACCCCATCACTCTGTGAAAATTTATACTCGTAAAAAGTTGAAAGGATGCAATCTGGTGGAATTAATTTCGTAAGTTTATTTGGCAAACACATCGAATCGGAGAAATGATTCGTTAAGTGGATTAGGTTAAGTTTTTTGTGAGTGAGTCAATTACGATCCTCCACTGCGACTCTCTGGTCTATAGTGGTTCTCACCACAAAAAAGGTTTGCTGAGTTATATAAAGTGCTATTTATTGTAGATTTGTCATTTTCAGTAGTACAAGCATTTTATTGCAAAATTTATTAGTTACTCGATACGTATGTATGTACCTTTTTTCAAATCGAGTAAACGAAGGTACCGGCCTTGGTACACTGCAGAGATTATATATAATATCCAGGCTAACGCTGTCCAACTCAAAACCTATTAGACCGGGATCATTCGCTGAAAACAAAATCCGTCCCATTAAAATCTCAGTCGAAAGCCCTGATATTTTTCGAAAAGTCACTATGAATGCAAGAAAGTTGAATACTAACAGGATTTATAGCAACGTCAGAATAGCTCCGGACCGAACGAAGAAGCGGTTGAAGTATTCTAAGGTCAAGCGAGAGCTGACGGAGCAGCATAATGCTGGTGATACAAACTGTCGCATAAAATATTTCACCGATATTCCAAAAATACAGTTAAACTAAATTCGCCCAGCAGTACTCAGGACAGCCCAATGTAAATTGTACTACTAGAATGTATGGGGACTTAACAGTAAGGTGAATGCGTTTTTTTCAGTCGGTGATTGTGAATATAATATAATTGCAATAATGCAAACCTGGCGGAAACCAGTTGTTTTGTCTAGTGAATTATCTCTTGGTAAGTATGAAAAGTTAGGGATCTCTATGGATGATAAAACACTTCCAATTGATTATTTCACGCGCTACCAATCCTTACGGCTTATAGTAAGGAATTGTATATTCGGCATACGGCTATAGATATAGTAAGTACTTATTCGTGCGCCACCGGTGTCGCATTTGGCTAAATTGTGAATTTTATATGACATTTAATTAGAGGTAAAAAAATCCATGATTTTCATAAGATTTTATTTCTAAAACACACTGTAACAACCATATGAAGTAACTAAACTAAGGAAGGGGTTAAAATAATTAGTGAAAAATAACGCAAAAATATTTTTTCTAACAATAGAAGTAAGCACATATATTTAGGTAGGTAACATAACATTAACTTATCAATTTCATTAAAACATTGAAGACATAGTTTTGGTTGCTCTGGACAATCTTTACAAAATGTAGAGACACTTTGGCTTTATTTCTAGCCTCTTTGACACCGCTTGTGTTCTGAAGTTTTAATTTCCCTCAGTGGCCACCGGTGGTACATATTGAAAAAAGTATTCAAAACTCAAAATAATACTCACACATTTTCTCGAAATTATATTACAGAAAATATACATTTGCACTAAAAAAACAGTGATCAGCTCGTGTTTTACTCCATGCATTGTCGACGTGAACGTGCTAACCTTAGGCCTGAAATTGTGAATGCTACTGAAGTTGAAGATGACTGACTGTCCTGAACTTGAGTTTTTGCTTTGCAAGTTCAGTATATCACCTTATATTTTATGTGGCACTCCTTTACATTCCACCTCATGTATCCGTTGATTGTTCTGAAAACTTCCTCGAAAGAGTCGGGAATATGCAGTATCTGTATTAAAAAAAACAAACATAATTGTCATAGGGGATTTTAATTGTACGGCTTATGTTGAGGATAATAATGATGATAGGAACAGCTCCATAATAATTAATTGGATCACTTTTTCTTGTATTAACCAATATAACACTATTAGCAATAGTTACGGTAAATTACTAGACCTAATACCTAATAATGTATCTTGACACTCAATCCCACTTGTAAATGAAAATTCCCATAATCCCCCTATATCTGCAACCCATAAATCAACTTCATTTTTAAGTGAAGCAATTTGCCACCAATGCTCATCATAAGTACAATGACAGAAAAGCTCATTTCCTTACGCTGTATGAGGAACTGATACCCACAAACTGGGATTTCTTTGATATTGCGATTAAACCTAACCAAGCAGTTAAAACTGTTTACAACAACTTATTTCCAGTACATGACAGACATGCTCCCCCTGCTAAAATATTGAAGCATAAGTATATCATGGTATATCAGTGAAATGATTGTATTAGTAAATAAAAGGCTAAATATCATAAAAATACAAGGCTACTAATATCGCCTATCATCAGGAATTGGAGACACCTTTAAACAAAAAATCAAGCAGACATATAACTTACACCCTATTTCACGAGTATCCATCACGGAATAATGACAGCTAGTTAGCTAGCAATATTTCAAAATTCCTCATATCGGCACAGGTCACATAATTAATTGCGATGGTTCGGTGAACTCCAAGTAAACAGACATTACGTATAAAAATGACATGTCGTGGACAAACCTGGAATGAACTATTTGCACACCAAAAACTACCTAGTCTGCAAGATGACATTTCACCTGTGCTACATCTATATCTTCATCCAAAAGAGCTTGATGAAGTTCCCGTTTTTTGAGGATGTCCCTTATGCCCAAACAATTTCAAAAAAGAATTTTGATAAATACAGGAGGCTGTCTATCTAGCCATATACAAGAAAGATCGCCTGCAACGCTTGAGTAGCGATAATCAGTGGATTTATTATTATTTATTGTACGGACCTTAGCGCAGTTGCCAGGTCCGCATTTTGCGCGTTCAAGGAAGGTTGGTCAGAGGGGGCGGGCAAAGTTGTTTTCCTAGCTGCATCCGCGTATGACAGGTTGCGCCTTTGCGCTATAACTTGCAAATTCCTCCTTGGAGTGAACTTGCAAGTCGGGCTATTTGCGGGATGACCCTCGCCACATTTCGCACACCGGCGCTCTTCCTGTCCTACGAGAGGCCACAAATGCGCCATGTGGCGAATTTTAGGCTTTTGGGTGGTGCAGTTCAATATGACTGCGCATGCCCGTACTCTTGGCAGCGGTGGCACTGCCAATGAGTCTGGAATTCTTCTAAAGCTCAACTCGAATGGCAGTCACAGCAGTTCATGTTCATTGAATACTTGCCGAGACTTTTCGGTCTCGGGCAGTATCACGACCACCAAAGGCATGGGCGCGCCGCTACTGCGCCTCAATCGAAAAATGTAAAAAATCCCCTCTGCTCAAGTTCTTCCTGAATCTCAGTATCTGAAAAAATAACGGGGACTCATCGAACCACCGCGTGGATGTTCCGTTCCGAAGGGAGAGGAAAAGTGTAATGGGGCACTTCTTCCTCTCGGAACAGTCGAACTATCATACGGCAGTCGTCCTTGGATTTAGGAATAATCCTTATGCCCGGATCGACAGCAACCGCGCGATCTATTTTAATACCTAGGGAAATGCAGTTTAGCGTACGCCACACTGCCCCATCACTCAAAACAATAGGCGTTACGCGCCCTTGGCGTGAAATTTGCATGATGCCAGGTCGGCTGAACGAGATGGCTGTGGAGAAAGTGACATTGGCCGACGGAGTGACCTAAGAGGTAGATAACGTAGTCCCTTCACCAACCGATGTCGAAGGTGTGATAGTAGAGACAGTGTAATTTGGTTTTGATGTAGTGGGGGAGGTGCATAAGAGAGTGGATTCTGTATTTGTAAGAGGAGGAAAGTCTTCGGCTCGACGGTGATTCTTGTCGCTTCTCCCCCTTCTAGATTTTGCCTTTACAATTTCGTCGGTCTGTACGTCATCATCTATGGATGTATATTGATGGCCGGTAATGGTCCATAGCGGTCCTTTTAGGCTGTTGGTCCGTTCTTTGGGGGTTTCTTTTGAACTTACTAAAACTGTTACCTGGGCGGTTAGGATGTCAATTTTAGCCAGCTGATCATTGGTTGTCTGCATGAGTTCTCGGATTTGCTTCGCCTGGTCGTCTATAATCATCATGAGTTTCTCGTTCTCTCGTTTTCTGCCCCGATGACATCCGCGTCGATGGGCCCATGATTTCAGTTTCTGAACGGCTTTTGACACTGCTCAGCTCCTTCCCCATTATCAGTGGTTCTGTATCCTCTTTGGATACTTCAGGGTCAACTACTATATTACAATAGCTTTTTCCCTCCAAGAAATTCGTAAAAACTTTTAGCGGTCACATATGTGGCAATGTTGTCAAACATACATTCTCATTCATTTATACATTTATATAGATAGTTAATACTCATATGTGCATTCGCATATATAATCTCCGCTTCACCCCGTAACTTCTCCTCGAACCGCGCTAAACTTCTATGGCGAAAATCAATAGAGTGCAACCGCGGCGACGCCTGCCGCTTTACACGCCGCGGCGGCAACGCGCCGACACACTGGCCCTTACCGTCAGTAGGACAGGCCTGTCAGCCGCTGCGCCGTCGTCAGTCTAGTGCTGCTCTGCTCCAACCCTTCAGTCTTCCGCAAAAATTCCAGTGAGTGCTTCTTCTTCCACAACACAATTCCATGACAGCAATGTGCAGGTGATGTTGCGACGGTCGCACCACAGCTTGCCATGGACCAACAGAGTGATGTCAACACCAATGATATGTCTTCTGAGGGACCACAGCACCAAGAACCTATGCTGACGATGGCGGAAACACAGGTACAATAAATCGTAGAATTTTGGTTAAGTTCGCGAATCTTTTCTCCATAATCTCAAGTATAGTATGCATATTGAAGGGAACATTAAACAGACGATGCTTTTAACATTTTTTCTCGAATAAGTCTTTTTAGTCTTGTAACTATCAATGTTGCTATCTCAGGCCATTCTCTGAATGAGATTTAATCCAAAATTGTTACTTTCTAAGAAACTTTTAGAAAAAAAAAAGTGATAATAAATGGCTTTTATTTAGGGCGAAGTTTAGCTACAAGCTATTCCACCACTTAACCCTTGAAAAAAACTAGCACTAGAATATTGAAAACAATTTTACCAAAATATTGTTCCAAAAGTTAAGCGAAAATTGCAAACTAATTTTTGCGTACACATGTACAAAAAAATATAAAAGATTTATATAATATGCAGAAATATGAGGAAATATGATGTATGTAGGTATATACTGGAAGTCAACTCAGATTTAAACATCAAAGATAATTTATTTAAGTTGCTTTTTGAAATTATAAAAATCAAGATGTTTCGCAGTCGATGGTAATGCATTATATAGATTGATCGCATTATAGGTGAAGCATTTATGAAATAATGAAGTTAAAGAGTCATATATTTGTACTCAAGAGATATCAATTTATTTTTCAAAAACAAAGGAACCGAAGTAAGTAGGAGATTCACATAATTTGTTTTTGCTTTAAAATCAAGTATTTCTTTATGTAATTACAGATGCCGTAAAACAGTAAAACAATGTTCAGTTAATTATTTATATGAGAAATGGGTCTGAGATTTTTATCTACATACAAACCTAATTTTTTTACCGATTCTTATATCTGAATAGCATGACCGTTTAAATTTATGGTCAAATTATTTTTAATAAGGGACCTTAGATTTTTAAGAAGAAAAATAATAACGTTGTGTTTAGAGGAATTCAACCGGAAACAATGTCTTGTTGCATAATTTTGAATAGAATTTAGGTCCTCTTTATTTGCGTTTCAGAAATCTGTAAATTTTTTTCTACCTAATGATCAATTCGCGACAATGTAAAACTGTAAAAAACGTGAAATGCTCATGTTTATAATTATTTCCCTTAAACACATCCTCAAAATAAAAATACACAAAATATGCCAAACTTAGTAATTCATTTTCTTTTTTTTTTCATTAACTGCGAGAGATCGGCCTCATTTTTGCAGATTTTCAAACAAATCATTTTTTTCTTCAGAACTCTGACCAAAACAATATGAATACTTTATATACAATATAAATATAATCTGAGGTAATACTTGTATTTCGAAGTTACACCAACAAAACAATTTTTGACAAAAAAGGCTATTGTAAGTAACCTATCCATTTTTACATTTACTCCATTAAAATTGCACAAAATTCCATATGAATACTTTTATAAATCTGTTGGAGAAATAGGATGTGCGATCTTAAGAATCCGAATAATTACTAGGGAACGTAACTATTGATACCATTCTTGAAATACGGAAATCTAATATTAGTCAATTTGTTTTTATTCTTTCAGGATGTCCGAGCTAGGAAAAAATACAGCAGCGGAGATAACAGTGGCGCAGCACATAATTTGTTTTTGCTTTAAAATCAAGTATTTCTTTATGTAATTACAGATGCCGTAAAACAGTAAAACAACGTTCAGTTAATTATTTATATGAGAAATGGGTTTGAGATTTTTATCTACATACAAACCTAATTTTTTTACCGATTCTTCTATCTGAATAGCATGACCGTTTAAATTTATGCTCAAAATATTTTTAATAAGGGACTTTAGATTTTTAAGAAGAAAAATAATAACGTTGTGTTTAGAGGAATTCAACCGGAGACAATGTCTTGTTGCATAATTTTGAATAGAATTTAGGTCCTCTTTATTTGCGTTTCAGAAATCTGTAAATTTTTTTCTACCTAATGATCATTTCGCGACAATGTAAAACTGTAAAAAACGTGAAATGCTCATGTTTATAATTATTTCCCTTAAACACATCCTCAAAATAAAAATACACAAAATATGCCAAACTTAGTAATTCATTTTCTGTTTTTATTCATTAACTGCGAGAGATCGGGCTCATTTTTGCAGATTTTCAAACAAATCATTTTTTTCTTCAGAACTCTGACCAAAACAATATGAATACTTTATATACAATATAAATATAATCTGAGGTAATACTTGTATTTCGAAGTTACACCAACAAAACAATTTTTGACAAAAAAGGCTATTGTAAGTAACCTAGCCATTTTTACATTTACTCCATTAAAATTGCACAAAATTCCATATGAATACTTTTATAAATCTGTTGGACAAATAGGATGTGCGATCTTAAGAATCCGAATAATTACTAGGGAACGTAACTATTGATAATACCATTCTTGAAATACGGAAATCTAATATTAGTCTATAAACCCAATTTGTTTTTATTCTTTCAGGATGTCCGAGCTAGGAAAAAATACAGCAGCGGAGATAACAGTGGCGCAGCCAAATTTCCAGATGAACGTGAAACAAATAATGGTTCTGATAATAAGCAACAATGTCAGCAACAAACAAAACAAATATCTGAGGATGTAAAAGGTATTGCAACTGAGAGTAAAATTTCTTCTTCTGACATGCAACTACTAAAATGGAAGGATATGCCGAAGCATCTGCAGTTCAATCCCTACATACTGACTGGATACAGACCTCTGTCAGATGCTTGGGGATGCGTCAATAGTATTACTTATATGCATAACGAGACATTTAACATCGTCTCTCATGGTACGTAATTAGATTGTATTAATTGACGTATTCTCGTTATTTAGCTTGAAAGCGATACATTTTCAAAACGCTTAGCGAATCATGTCATACGACACAAGCGTTGAGCGTTTGGTTTAGGTATTCATATTGTTGTGCGAACGCTTTAAGTTGAATCCGCCTGGCAAATCTCGAAGACGGTGCTTTTTTCAATGTTACCAACCTACTCTCGGATACAGAGTGCACCAGATTAAGATGTTAATCATTAGGGAGCATATAAAACACAAAAAAATACTGACACGGGTCTTTTAAAAAATTTCTCACGGCGGATTATACGAAGATACACCCTTCTAAACGATTCAGCTCCAACACAATATTGCTGAAATTTTTTTCAACTTTGTATTATAAGCTCAGTGATGAAATTTTTGGAAAACATGATCTTTCAGCGTACTCTTGTTTTTGAGGAAAACGGTCTTGTTTTAGTACATTCGTATCATTTTTGGGGAAAAAATTGGAGGGAACTTCTCAACTTCCAAACTTACGTACCAGATTTGGACTAAAAGGCTTGCGAAGATCTTTGCTGTCAATTCCACCATGTGACGTCGATTCAAATGTTTCTGTAAATTATACGGGAAGAAACCTTCAGGCATAACCGTAAGACTGCCGTTGTACTGAAGAGATGTGCATCGTAGCTTGATCCAGTTTTGTCGCGACTCTTCCAGATATCTTACGAGCCCGGCACTTTCCCAGAAAACTAGAAATTTGTCACGTCCAGCCCATCTCAAAAAAACTCTAGGACCCAGCCTTATAACTACAGACCTATAGTATTGCTTTCTGTCATAAGTAAGGTAATGGAGAGGTGCATAAACCAGGAGTTCTAAAGTCCCTTGAACATCACGAACTGATTGGTAGCAGGCAGTATGGTTTTTAGCATCAGCAATCCACGGGGGACCTCCTAGTTTACGTCACGCAACTGTGGAGTAAGCTCATCTAGTCTTATGGTGAGGCCCATGTCATTGCTCTTGATATCAAGAAAGCGTTAGATCAGCAGTGGCATTCTGCCCTCTTATATAAACTTCAATCCTATGTTTCCTTGAAAAGCTTTGCTGACTTCCTGTTTAAGCAGTAAGATATCAGTCGTGATTGACGGGTTCTCCTCTTCATCCAACAATGTCAATGCGATTGTTCCCCAGGGATTGGTCTTGGCTCCGATATTGTTCCTCTTACATATTTAACGACCTCCTTTGCTGATGATAGCACTCTACATGCAGGAATTCAGAGTGACAAGCCGATCTCTGCCGGTGAGCTGGAAAAAAGAAGACCAGCAGCGACTTCGTCTCTAATTAAGAAGCGCCATTGTGCTCATTGGATTTCGATAGATGGCCGAGTTTTGCCGGCTGGTCGGACTCCACATCAACGAGGAGTTGATCTGGCACGAACAAATCTCGCCAGTAGCGGCAGCTTCTGGGAAAAAGCTAAACTGATTGTTAAGGGATGAGAAGTACTTTTCACCACATAACCTCCTCATTCTGCACGAGGCCCAGATATTACCTAGCCTCGATTCCTGCTCTCATGTTTGAGGTGCTGCCGCCCCGACTATATTATCCATGCTCGATGCTGTTCAGAGGAGCGCAGTCTTTGGACCCTTTCGCACCTACAGGCAATCTGGTTTTCTTCTACCGCTATGTCAACTGGCTCTCCTCCATGATACCGCCGAACAATGTGTCTGACAGAACCACCTGACTTCAGCCTCATATACAAACCGTGTCGAACTTTGTACCTCCAGAATTGTCCGATACGACCGCTCATTTGTCCTTAGGGTATCGATATTGTGGAACAATCTACCTGAGAGGCTTTTCATAGTTCTATTTACCTTAGGCAGTTCAAAAATCGGATTAGCAAAGTTTCTAAGCCTCTCATAGCAGCCGCGGTTCCCTGGTATTTAGACTTCTGCCTACGCGGCTGCTTTGGTATTAAAAATTACTTTGTGGTCATCTAAATGAATTAATTGTTTTTCATGAATATCATCATACATATGTGAACCTACTGTTATCTAAATTTATATGAATTATGCGGTGTCGTTCTGTTTAGTGTTTTCATTTGACAAAACTGGTTCCATGTTCGAAACACACTACCCTAGTTCATCCTATTTTCATCCATAAGAACATATATCTGTCAATTCGTATCTGGTTTCTGCCAATAAAAAAATTTATTTGATTTTGTCTTGGTAAATTTTCGAAGAAGGGGAAAGAACATAAAACATGCACCAGTAATAGTTTCGCCAAAAGAAAACGCTAACAATTAGGAACATCCAATTTCCAGTGGCGTCTTCATGGGTCTGTATCTTCATAGAAGAGCCATGTAGGAATTTTTTTATATGAACCTGTAACATTTTTTCTTGTGTTCTATATGCTTTTGAGAGATTGGCATGGTATTGTGGGAGAATCAACAATGGTGACGCTGATTGATGATATGTCCATTGATATTTTCCAAAGAAGTAATAAGACACTGGCATATTTCCATCTAATTATTCTTTCTATTAGACTAGTCAAGTCTGTAGGTGTGCTATCATGTTTTAAGTAAAGAAATAGTATTCAACAGTTCCGACTGACAATTATTCAAAATATGTTACACAGTAAACACATTTTCACTAATGTCTTCTGTTATACAATAAGTATAAAAAAGTTCATCTCTACACACCGTATTTGATTGAAACAATTTAAAAGATCAACGTCTATTGACAGAATTTTCTTGGCTGTAACCGTTTCTCACAAAGGCAATTTCCTTTAGTACAATCACAATACATTTGATTTATAGTCCAGGTGACAGATAAATCATGCGATTGAAACATGTACAGTAAGGAAAATTATGTCAATACATATGGTTTTCATTGGCCTGACAAGCATGGTGATTATCGACATGTAAATCACATGATAAGATTCAGATGTTAGATTAATTTGAAACATATTGTGAAGAATTAAAATGCAACATTGTAGCAACAAGTGTAGACATCCATGATAGGAATCAGTTGCACATGTGTTGATATACCACGTTTATTCGTGAAATGACCTGAAAAACCAAACCAAGAAACTTAAACATTTCACTCAAGAACAAACTTTTAGCTGTTAATGCTAGGACTATACATGAGATACTTGAATCTGAAATTTTCTTCATCATCCCTTTGCCCGCTATATTGATATAGTTGTAGTCACCGTTCTTGGTGGTTACGTCATCAACGTTATATGAAATAAGTAAACAGATCGAGTCTCCGTATCATGGTCGCAGAGGTCGTGATATTTTGTCTTCTCATATCGTGGAAAGTATTCTGTTTTGACGGCATCGCTTACATAATCGGTCTTGCATTTTTTGCTTTTGTGAGTTTCTCCAGGTATTACTATGGGCAAACCTTTCTTATTTTCTGATTTTATTCGCTGAACACTGCGCAGACTAATCTTCAGCGCATCTGCTACTCTCTCCAGTATGCATGAAGTGCGTAACAGGGGACCGCTGTTTTCATTCTCTTCCTGGAAATACTCTAATACATTTAGTACAAGCTGTTTAAGATTGATAACGGGACAACTCAAATTGCACGCCGATGTCAAGTAAGTTGTCACTCTGACAAATATGACTGAAGGGCACTCATAAGTAACGACAAAGTTTTCAAGACGGAGACACAACTAAAAAACGTATGTCTTTGAGCTTACCGAACAAACCTGCACACACAGGGGTAGGTTCCTTGTGCATTTATGAGGGAGACGGAGTTATACACGGTGTCTGCGAAATGTTGGGAAATCTCGAAACTGGCGATACTACAGACCAAAATATGTGAACTGACCTGAACATACCTCAGTCCAAAAGTTGATAGTTTGCAACAGAGTGTCAGTCACAATTTTATTTTCTATTTTTCCTTATTGCTTGAGAAGTATTTCAGATTTTGGCATAAAACTCGGTATAGGGAGGTATTCTAGTATGAGAAACAAGAATCCGTTATTTTTTATGGCCAAACTTATAGAGGGATCCACTTACAGCACTATTTCGGTAAATAACTTATCATAACTTTTTTGTGCTACCCTGTATACTGACCAAAAAATCTTAGTTTCTCGTGTTTCCACAACAAAAAAGGTTTACTTGTTAGAAGTGTCTAAAGCTAGTAGTTTTCAAGATATTTGTTTTTAAGTTTCAGTGCATTATTTGTACCATAATGATAAAACAATTTTATAGCATAATAATCAAGTTGCTTTGGATAATATCTGAGTAGCTTTGCTATGGTTTTTAACAATAAAAAATGAGGATGGCAACAAAACTAATAAACCGAAATAATAACTACAAAAATTGTTCAAAATGAGCACCACCTTACCTAACACACTCTCGAGCTCGACGAACTAATCCTTGCTGCACTCTCCAAAGCATTTGGATGTTATTTTTAATTTCCTGGCTATGGTGAGAAATTCTTTGTCGAAGATATCTACAGTTTCCGCTGGCGTATTGTAAACGCGTCGTTTTAAATCATTCCAGAAGAAGAAATCCATAGGATTTAAATCTAGTGATCTAGCCGGCCACGCTACAGGTCTTGATCGGCCTATCCACTGGTCTGCATAAACTCTAGTTAGGTGCTCTCTAACTAATTTACTAAAAGGAGGTGGAGCGCCGTCGTGCATAAACCACATATTCATGTGTGTTTATAATGGAAGATCTTCCAGCAGAGTGGGTAATTGTTCTTCAAGGATTTGTAAATACCTTTGGCCATTTAGTCTAAGTGGTAACTCAACGGGTCCTATTAAATATTGTTCAATTATTCCCGCCCCTAAATTAATTTGAAATTGTACTTGGTTTGTATTATTGCATGAGGATTTTCGTCTGTATAAATGTGAAGATTATGCGAGTTAATGGGCCCATCCCTTTCAAATCCTGCTTCGTCCGAAAATAATATTAACGAAGTAAAATCATTGTCGTGGTTAAACTTCCTTAAGAGACATGTACAAAATTCTACCTTTGCGGGGTCATCATCCGCGCTTAAGCCATGTACTTTTTGCAAGTGGTATGGATGGAGCAGTTGCTCTTGAAACATGGTATTTACTATTTGGAAACTTGAAATTCTCGAGCTACATTCCTAACCCTAACATTTTCTTCAACTTCAGCTGTATGTACAGTTCTGGAAGCTCCGCTATGTCGGCCCATATTTTGGGCAAAACTACCTACTCCAAATGGTTTTTACTGCTCAAAATATGGCTTTAATCATTTCTTACCAGTTTCTCGTAACCGATGATCGATTCGTTGGAAAGTATTTGAATTAGGCAGGTGTCTATTAGGAAATCTGTCAGTGTACAATCTTTCAAAGCATTACATCTTGCCAATCCGTACATTAAATGCATATCAGAATATTCATCAAACGTAAACTCCATGACTTATTGTTAACTTAAAATTATTCATGAAGTTTAAAGCAATATTATGACAAACATTAGAAACCATAGCAACGCTACTCAGATATTATCCAAAGCAATTTGATTATTATGTTATAAAAATGTTTTATCATCATGGTACAAATAATTAATTGAAACTTTTAAAAACAAATATCTCGAAAACTATCAACTTTGGACTAAGGTATGTTTAGGTCAATTAACGTATTTTGGTCTGTAGTATCTCCAGTTTCAAGATTTCCCAACCTTTCGCAGACACCCTGTATAAAGGGACACTGGTAGTCTTACTTAGACCTGCCAAGAACGGTGACCAACTATAACATGTGCATTACGTAGACCTTGACGGTTCTCTCAAAACGACATTTCATCGAATGAACGAATCAGGCTTGACATTTGTAAACTTATAATAAGCCCTTAAGTGTAACGGCATGAATCTTTATTTGTAATAGGACTCCCTTGTCTGACCGCTAATTCTATAGATATATTCTCATTCATTCTCATTGTATTTGAAAAATGCCACCGTGGTGGCAAAAATGTCGTACAATAAAAGGTAATTGAAACATATGTGGTTTGAATTAACGGTCAGACAATGGAGTCTTATCAATAAAAAAACCCACAGGATAAGTTTCAGGTGCTAAGTATTGAAAAGGCGTTGTGAGAATAGACGTTTAATTATCAAAACTTACGTACGTTGGTTCGTTGGTGGTAAATTAATTATTATATACTTGAGCATAACAATGTAACGAACTGTTTCCATGAAGTAAATTAACTCAGTCCGCCGGGGTATTATACGATTAATATTTAACAGGTACAATTTTAAACGTTATTGATGTTTGCCCCTTATATGCAGGACTAGAAAAAACAAGAAATAACATAAACTCCTAACTTGCTTACAAGCTAGCTTTTTCTTTTATATAGATTAGAAATGACCATAAAATGATTTAATAAGACCAAGACCTTAATATAGGTGCTGACCTATTAGCTATTTATATCTAGCTGTCGAAGTGTCGTGTTTTATTGTTTTGGATTCTTTATTACAAATGTTCTCAACAGCGTACAGTGTGTAATATCGAACACATTCCGATTGTAGTGGTTGAGTTTTTGGAATTGTACAGGATGGCCCATCCATGTGTGGACGGAATATTACTCATAAACCACACACATTTATGGCATGTTATACATGACATTTGAGGGCACAATTCTAAAATATTGGCCATTATACAGGGTATCCCAATTTCGACCTACATATCAAAGTTCTGATTTCTCAAATGGAATGCCTCAAATGTTATTGCATATTTGGATAAACCAATTCAAAAGAAGAAAATTGCTATAACATACTATGGGGTTTTGGTAATTAGCTACTGAGATATCAGGTGTTTTGTCTAGAAAAACCCCCTACTTCGGCAACCCATCAGTCCGCCATTTTGAAATTTGGAGTGCTGAATTTTGTATCAAAAAAACTTTACACAACTCAGCTTCTATCTTATTTGTTATTTTTTCGAATTTTAATTTTTGCTCATACAGGGTGGTCAAAAGCGCAAATTGTAGTTTTTCTCAAAAATTTCAAATGCATCGCCCTGTATATACATATGTGCAAGTTTGGATTTAATTTTTTATAAGCTTTTTTTGATACTAGACACATAAGGGTTTTTACGGCTATTTTCCGGTTATTAGCACGTCTTTTATGGGATGGCTTAATTCCCTAAAATATCACATCATCCTTGGAAACCAATAAATTGTTGATTAGTTACAATCTGTCAAAATTAGCTTTGTGAGCATTATAATAAAAACGTGTTTGAAAATGAATTTTTCTAAAGAAGAAATGGTGAATATGGTGTTCGTTTTGGGCGAAGCCCAAAGAAATAGTTTCCTAGCATCTCGCATTTATAAGTAACGGGTACCCTAATATGCGACATCCAAGACCGCCAATGAGGCGAATCAGTAGGAGGTTCTATTAAAGTTGCAGGAAAATCCCCATTTAAGTGCACGACAAATTGGAGCAGAAACTGATACATGCAGAACTTCTGTCCAAAGGATTATTCACAAGCATAGATACGTACCATCCATATCACCTATTCTTGCACCAAGGCCTTCGTCCTCAGGATTTCGCAGCTCGAATGGAGTTTAGTAAAATAATGCTAAATAAAGTGAGTGAAGACACTACTTTCCTGGATAAGTTTTTTTTTAGCGATGAGGCAACTTTTAACAGCATAGGTGTTGTCAACAGGCATAACATGCACTATTATGCGACGGAAAACCCTTACTGGGTTAGGCAAATAGATTTCCAAAATAAATGGCGCTTGAATGTTTGGGGAGGAGTTATTGTCAGACAAGTTATCGAGCCTTTCTTTTTCGACAACATATTAATAGGTACAGAATACTTGAATTTTTTGATCGAGCATTTGCCTTTGCTTTTGAAGGATGTCCACCTGCAAACTCGGATGCATATGTACTTCCAACATGACGGCGCACTTGTGCATTATCATAATCGTGTGCGTAACTATTTGGACACCTGGAGTAACAATCGTTGGATCGGTCGTGATGGGCCTATATCTTGGCCTCCTAGATCACCAGATATGACACCGATGGACTTCTTTCTATGGGGCTATGTTAAGCAAGAGGTTTGTAGTTATCCACCATCTACCCCGGAAATTATGAAGGATAAGATTAAGGATGCTTTTCTAAACATAAGGGAACACATGCTGAGGGATGTGCAACGGTCATTTATCCAAAGACTACGGCTGTGGTGAAGATATTTTCGAGCAGTTTTTGTAGATTAGGTCTTGAGTAGTGATAGTTGTTTGTTTATGTTGTTATAGTTGTTTTTCTCTATTACGCTTGAAGCTGATTTATATACTGTTCTGATTGTTATTAGTTATTAAAGCTTATTAACTCAATCTAGTGATTTTATCTGAATCAAACCTTATACCAAAAAAAAGCTTATAAAAAATTGGATTCAAACTTGCACAAATATACAGGGTGATGCATTTGAAATTTTTGAGAAAAAGTACAATTTGCGTTTTAGACCACCCAGTATGAGCAAAACAGAAAATTCGAAAAAGTAACAAATAAGATAAAAGCTGAGGTGTGTAAGTTTTTTTTTGATACAAAATTCAGTACTCTAAATTTCAAAATGGCGGATTGAGGGGTTGCCGAAGTGGACGGTTTTTCTGGGCAAAACACCTTACATCTCAGTAACTAATTACCAAAATCCCATAGTGTGTTATATCAATCTTCTTCTTTTGAATTGGTTTATCCAAATATGCAATAAAATTTGAGGCATTCTATTTAAAAAATCACAAGTTTGATATGTAGGTCAAAATTGGGACACCCTGTATAATTGCCAATATTTTAGAATTGTGCCCTCAAATGTCATGTATAACATGCCATAAATAGATTTTCCCAATATAAATTTGTTTATGAGCAATATTCCGTCCACACATGGATGGGCCACCCTGTATAAGTAGCAGTGAATAATCGAGTGAATAGGGAATCCGCAGGTTTTGAACCTTCCCAAAGTGATCATCGTGGGAAAAAGGAAGGAAGATACAATGATAATTTTGATGTATATACCTTCAAAACAAAAATTAATTCCATGATAAAAAACAAATATGAAAACAAAAGGTATGAACAGCAGAACAGAATTAGTGATCAATCTTACAGTTGCATATAAAACAAAAAAACGATAAGTTCTGATAGAAAATGTCAAACGGGGCTTTCCAACTGAGATACAAGCCCGTACAGGATGTCGCGTCGCGCGTTGGTGGTAATCGGCTTTTTTCTAACAATTTTTGAACTTCGAGGTTTGATCCCTATTCTCCACACTTCTATAGTCTTTTTCACGAGTATCCATTACGGTAGAATGACAGCTGATTATCTAGTAATATTTCAAATCCCCATATCAGCAAAGGACACATAATTCTGACGAATCCGTCAATGCCAGGTAAACAGAACCATATTTTGTTTTGGTTTTTTGTACGCTACAGATTCATTTTGTACTTGCTAAAAGATATTTTATTTATAAAAGTTCATTTGCATACAAAAAACAAAACGCTACAAACAAGTTCTACTAAATTTACACCCGATTCATTATTGCCAACGTTGTAAACTAACACAAAAGTATCACTTGCTGATCAGCTGTTGACTTCAGTAAATGTCAAAGCGTGATGGATACTCGTGAAATAAGGTATATTTTGTTACTCTACATAACCTCACTGCGTGGTTGCCAGTTGTATGCCCCGCCGTCTAGAGGTGCGACCAGAAAGTATACACGGGTGCAGTAGCTGATGTATAGAAATTTAAACGTTTATTGATGAAAATGACAGACATGTAGTCGTTTGGAATTAAGGAACAATTTGAATTTCAAACTGACAATTCTCTTTAGATCTGATGAATAATGACAGCGAAAAATTTGAATATGTGCCAGGTATCAGTTGACCCCACTATCTGTCCTTTTTGTTCACCGCGTGCGCGGCGATCGATTTAGTTATCCCCACTATGTACTTCGTCCCCGGCAAATATACATCTCTGATCATCCCATGAAGCATTATAAACACTTCTATCTCCCTTCCAGCCATCCCTATCTTGTACATCCTGTTGACGGTGCCTCAGATTCTACCATGGGAACAGACCGAATTGAGCTTCCTTGCCTGGTGTCACATCGCTGGTATCCTGTGTCCTTGGGTGGGCAGCTTCCTTTACCATCTCTTCATGAACCTTCGACGTGGGCCGCGCACCTACTACTTCCTTTTACAAGTCGACATGGTTGGTATTTGGGTCAGCCAAAGTTTTGGTAAGTATACTTTGAGAATATCTCCAAATCAATAAGATCAACGAATATAAGCCATAACAGTAGCAAACTTCACAATTAAAGATAAGCTGAAAATTTGCTTGGAACTATGTTTTGATTCTCTATAACTTGAGGCTCTCATACAACTTCGTGTCAACATCTTGTTTTTGTTCAGAATCAAAAATCACATGAATCAACTTTTTGCAAATATTTCAATAGCGCTGCCCCAATGTTATTTGGACCTCTAGAAAATCTGTAAAGCACAGAATGGCCAACTAAGAATACGAGGTACTGTACATTGGAACCTATATCAATCGTAGAGAAAAGAGAAAAACCTGGAAAATATTTTCACGCTTCTGAAATGGCCTGTAACTGCAATCATGGATCTAAAAAAGTAATGTTTCTGTGAATTGCGCTATATTAACCTAACAAAAAATACCTGATCTTTGAAGTCGAAGATAATGTCAACTTTTTTTGTTTGACAATGTTTACTGTATCTCTAAAAATAAAGTGGTAGGGGGTATTTAAAGGTTTCCGTAAAAAACACCCTGTATCATCGAAACGGTTGAGCGGATTTTAACAAACTTGGGCTATTCTTGTTAGTTTCACGTGTGGCCGCTAGATGGCTTTTTTCGACATTCCGACAGAAATTTTCTCAAAAAAATTAAATGCATTGGTATGATTTTTTTATGAAAAAGAAGCTAGATGATGCCTATACAAGCTCGCGAAAACCGCATCTCGATATCTTGTTACTAACCTAAGATTTAGACAAAAGAAAAATTTACACGGAAATCCCTTAAATTTTTATTTTTTTGATATTACTTTTTCTGGAATTCTTTTCTACTCATCAGAGTAAAATCACCCATTTTGAAAATATTACAAAATATCGCTTAAAGGTAAGTAAGTAATGCTAATAATAAAAGGCATATTTTTTGTTTAACTGCATATTCACTATGGGTATATACTAAAAAGACAATTAATAGAAGCAGGCCATGGAATACAAAAAAACAAATACCTAATCAAAACAAATAATCCTCAACTTGTCAATAGTTTCGCGTTACTTTGAGCAATTTTTGTGCTTATCAAATGCATTTTACGAACGATGAAGCTGTTGATATGCTTGCAGTTTATTTTGAATGTCTTCAGAATGCCACAGCAGCAGAAAGAGTTTACGCGATTCGATAGCCAAATCGGCGTCTTTGCGATGTGAGAGATTTTCCCCGATTAGTGGCGATCATACGAGCCAATTGTAGTTTTCGGCCAATATTTCAACGCCAAATAATTAGAAGAATACAAGGAAATATTAACCGCGTACTGGGATATATTGAAGGAAATCCTCATGTTAGCCCAAGCGCATTATCCCTTGAGATGGGCATATCACGAACAACTGTTCAAAATATTTTGTTGGACCATAGGTAAGTTCTACCAAAATATAGAGATTTGTTTAAATTTATTTTTTTTTTTCGTTTTAGTATGTACCCATATCATGTCGTTTTGCATCCGGCTTTAAAAGAGGACGACTTTGATCGGAGGTTGGACTATTGAAATTGGATTGTTAGGCAGGATACGCGAAAATATAGAATTTTCATTTCAAACTCGTTGGACCGATGAAGCCACCTTTAATAGGGACGGGAGAGTCAATTTGCACAATATGCATTATTGGTCTGCAGAAAATCCGCATTGGTTTTATGAAGTTGGCGGTGGAGTTTAAATGTGTGTTGTGGCATACTGGCATACTTCTTCACTACTCCATTTAACAGACAATATCTTAAAGAATATGGATAAACACATTAATACATAGTTATGGTTGACTTCTCTAAGGCGTTCGACACGGTTAACCACAAAATTTTATTGAGTAAGTTAATGTATATTGGACTTTCTGGCATTCCGCTTAATTTTTTTGAAAATTACTCAACTAATCGCAAACAAAAGGTGAAGACAATTAGAGGTGTCTCATCTCCTGTGGCCGTTTCTTCAGGTGCCCCTCAGGGGTCTGTCTTAGGTCCTTTACTGTATTTGATATATACTTTTGGTTTACATTAATGTATTGCACATTTTGCTATACAGACTTACGCGTATGATACGCAACTTTCTTTTCATTTTGACTTGTCTCATCTGGATGAAGTGTCATAAGGTAAAGTGTGATCTTGCCAACATAACTAAGATTTTTGTAAGAGGCACATGTTGAAGATCAATCCGGATAAGATTGACTAAGGGACAGGATTGCATTGAGCATCAACAATCAAATTCCCACGAAAAATCTTGGTGTCATCTTCGACTCTAGTTTAAGATTTGACAAATATGTGTGTCATCTATCGAAGTCCACCTACATCAAATTAAGACTGCTAAATGCTAATAGATTCATTTTGAACTTTAAAACGCGTAAGAAGCTAGTTGAAACTTTGATAATGTCCAGCCTCAACTATGCTTTAACTTTATATTATCCTTGTCTAGACTCGTTGACAGGGTTGTTATGTTTTAATCACAATGTTCAAAATGGGTATTTTAAGCACTATTTAATTAAAACAATGAAGTTGTTTTAAACCAATTTGTTTTAAACTGTCCAAAACATGGTTTAAACACTGTTTTTTTGTCGTTTGTGCATTATTAAAGTTTTTTTATATTTTTTTAAGTATGATTAAGATTGTTATTTTGCAAAACGAAACTAAAAGGGCCATAGGTTAAAACACATAGGTACTAAAAAATGTACTTCATTTTTTATTAATTAATCAAACGTGAAACTATGGAACTAATACTAGTGAAAACAAAATCGAACGAGTGAACTGCATTGAACTCTAATACTAGTACACTACAAGCATCAGAATAATCATATATGGCTATGTATTTACTTCTATAATAACACTGAATAAGTTACTTAACAAATTTCTATAGTATACAACCCATCTTATTTAACAAAAAATCAATAAACCTTTAAATTTTTAGTTTTCACTAGTTTTTACGGAACTCCAAGTAAAAAAAAATTAATAATCTACTTTTTCACGCTTTGATTTAGGTGTTTACATAATGTGACTGATTTTGCCGCTTTTTCTGTGCCTAACTTATTACGAAGTTTGGTGTAGATTATCCCAAATGAGGAAAAAGTACGCTCAAGCCCAGCAGATGAAGCAGCTGCTGTATGAAGCTGCTGAACTAGGTTAACTGTAACTTCATTTAAGTTATCTATCAAAGACCTCCATCAGACAAGTGGTGTGAGGCCTTTCAAATTGTCTTGGAATAAATAATCCTTAAATGGTGATGTTTTTGAATGATAACTTACTCTAAAAAGCATCGCTTCAGGATAATAACGAGAGGCATACTCAAGACCTTCTTCGCGTGGCTCTAGATTCAATTTAAGTCTTTGGAATCGATGATCCTACAAAATGATTTCTATCTGAATCAGTGCAATTTTCATTTTCTTTAAAAAAGGCAAATACTTATATCCAAATTTCTGTGCATTCGCTAATTGTACAGTCATCTCGTTGAATCTTATGTAGAGCAATTGCTATTTGTTTTAACTTTACCACATAGTCCTGGGCATTTATTTTTAAATTTAAATCATCAATTTTTCCGAGATATGAATATCAATAGCAGCTCGGCTTTCTAAACAAATTTTTGATAATATGTGCCAGTTCTGTAGATAAGATTCAATAGAGTCAGCTAAAGTGTTCCATCTAACATCTTGTGGCATCACGAGAGCTTTTCCGCCAGATATTTCATATTTGATTGCTGCAAAATGTACATTTCTGAAGTACTGTATTATTTTCTTTATGTGTTCTTTCAAAGTGGCCACCTGAATATCTGGTGAAAATAAATTTAAAAAGGGAAACGGTACTTCCCCGGCGTCCGCACGGTAGTTTCCCGACGTCCGCTTTTGAAATAGAGATGTGCTCTGATAGAGCTGGATCAAAAATAGTAATAACACTTTCAAGGAACTTCTTAGTAAATTGGTAACAAGAGGAATCATTGATCTTAGAGATCTGAGGCATAATAATAATCTTACAATGCCTTTGCACTACACCGCATTGTTTCAAAAATGTTTCACTTCCAATGCTGTGAGGTTATATATATATATATATATATATATATATCACCCTGCCTGAAGAAGCAAAAGTGTTGCAACATTCAGGAACCTGGTTAAAAATCAGGTGTTAGATCTTTCATGTTTTTTTTTGTGTTATCATCCATTCAGTATTGGTTCTTGTCTGGTTCCTTTTTTGGTAAATCAATATAGCGCGGATTTATCAATTGAATGTATTTTTTCCTTTATATCAGCTCACTCAGTTGAAAGCCAGATCGATGTATTTATTTTTAGGTTGCTATGTAGGTATGCATGTATCTTACTTTGGATTGTATATACATATTTCCTCGCACAGTAGGAATGAGTGTAAGAGTAGCCAACTGGATAAACTTCGCCCTATTGTTGTGATACAAATAAAGACATTTTATTATTAATTATTGGGTCATATTTTTTCGATCAATCCCTGATAGCAATGTCTTTCTTGACTTTTTGTACAATCAATTACCGTTGTTTTTGGAAGATGTGCAACTGGAAACACGGCAAAATTTGTTTTTGCAGTTGCAGTACGAGAGCATATTAATACAGGACTCCCAACAGCGGTGAATTGGCCTTCGCGATCACCAGACTTAACTTGTCTTGATTTTCATTTATGCGACGGTTAAAGGACTCCGAGTTTCAGAATCAACCTACAACCAGAGAAGATATGAAAAGCCGGATTCGTAATGCAATACGTAACATACCGAGAGCCGAAATTGAAGCTGCAGTTTTGTCTACCCGTGAGAGACTTCAGGAATGCATAGAGCGTGGTGGTCAGCATTTCGAGCATTTACGGGAGCATTAAAAAAATAAAAATTTAAGGGGATTCCGTATTCAACTTTCTTTGGCCTAAGTTTTAGGTTAGGAACAAGATATCGAGATGCGGTTTTCGCGAACTTGTTTAGACATCATTTCGCTTTTTCATAAAAAAAGGTCCTCTAGCGGCCAC